GAAAGTGAAATTATTTGAAAGTGGAAATAATTACTCTTCCGTAGTAATATTTGCAGAAATACACTGTTGCCCCAGCGAAATATATTTTAATTTCAGTGCATATGTTACATACACAGATGAAAATAATAAACATTGCAAGCATTCGTAATTATTAGACTTTTTCATAAATCTTGAGACCGCAGAAAAAAAGAAAATTTGAAAGCCCATCCAAAGACTACTTACTTTTCTTCTTGGGTTTCTGAATCTCGAAATCATATTGCAGTGGAGGGGGAACCGTGGGCTCAGTCCTGCCCATCTGTATGCTACTCGCCGCGATTAGTGCTTCCTTAAAATAAATGACCGAGGTGGGAGAATGAAAATCCTCTGTGCTGTGTCCATTTTCATCTTGCTGTGCTGCAGTGTTACCGTCCTCCGCGGGATCTGAACTTTCTAAAACTTGCAATTCCCGGAGTTGCCCTGCTGATGCTGTACACTGCTCCGCCATCTTCAGCAGCTGCTTCTCATGTGACTTCTTCTCGCAAAAACGAAAGAAAGCACCGTTGACGAAAAAATACTCATTTGTAATTAAGTGAGAACGGAACGCGTCAACAACTGCTTATTGTGTATTTTAAAAGAGGTATAACAAGACTTAAACTTACTGAAATCTCTTTCCTTACACTTCTTTTAAAAACTTAAATGTACTGTCTCAAGTATGACGCGTCTTGCTGTTTACCTGCGCGGCTGAACTTCTCTGTCTCTTAAAGGCACAGAGACACTTTAGAACGATCTTCTAAAGAGCATAGGGCTGCAAGTATGTCGAAAGTAATCTTTTATCAAAATGACAATTGAAAGGGTTTCTGTCTGATCTATTGTTTGTTTTCTACATGCCTATCTGTTTTTATCTATTAGTTCATAATCACACATTCCTGAATGTCAAGTGAATCGCTGAGCCAGGAGATACTGACATCCCCCTCATTAATTAATAGCAGAATGAAAGCTGGAAGCACTGGGCAGTACAGACTGTAATCCCACAACAAACGGAAGGTTCAAAAGTTGTCTTTTAGTAGTTTAAATTAGGAAGTAATTTTATCCATTCTTTGTCCATACAAATACAGTTTATGTGCAAGCATACTGTGCTCAAAACCCCTGCAGCACAGGACAACATATTTGAGCAGAGAAGGATGTCCAGCAGCGCTGTCGGCGCTCGGCGTAATTCTATTTTCTCTGGCCCATTCATACGAACCACAAACCCCTGCATATCGATATGCATGTGTATTCTGTGTTTTTATATTAATCTGCTCGGCATGAATAATGGGAAGTTAAAAAAGCAAAGTAAGCAATCCATCATTTAATACACTGATGATTTATCTAAAAACTAATTTTGATTTTTTTCTAGGGGGAAATGTTAGTCTTCACAAGCCTTACACGTTTTCCGTACGGTATGCTAATTATAAAACAATCCACAAGGTGGTGCTAATGTTTTCTGTATCATTAACTTAATAAAAACGTAACATAAATTTACCTCAATGTATTCTTTTCCCATTATTTCAGGTGCCTTTTAAGACCTCTCTATAGTTTGTATGTTCTTTAAAGTGTAAAACTGTCAGACCATGCACTATTTTATATACCTGCTACAGTAGCATGATGTTCTAAATGTGTTTGAATGAAGAATAAAGATCTGTTCTTTTGAGTCAGCATTTTCAATTTTAACTTGATCTCTAAATGTGATGAAGCTGTTAAGCCTTACTGTCTTATTATTACATTCAATTCCAAAATAGGTTAAAGGTGTACACAATTATCTTCAATTTATATAATGTGTTTGATATATACCTGTCCATCTTTATCACATTATGATTATGTATAAAGAATGGTCTTGTTAACATAAGTCTGTCCATCCTTTGTCTAGTTATTGTTTCAGTACCTAACTGAGAATTGTGTATACTGTAGTTAAGGAATTCCCTAATCACAGTTCAGGTTGTGATCATGGTAGGTGGATCACATTGGTTTACTTATTTTTCAGTTCCTTGCTCTGAAAACTATCTTTCAGTTCCTCTCAGATTTAAACCTGTCTCCACCTTCTTCCCTTCAATCTAATTTCTTGTTTAAACACTAGTTGTTCTATCAGTTCTCTCACCCAGCACACAAGACTCTTTCTTGTTTAGCTGGAGTCCACACACCTATATAAGCCACACCTTTTCCAGAAGGTTTCCCAGAGCAGCAAATACTTCTAGCAGTCTTTCTACATGCCACATTTTTCAAACTCATGTTTTCATAGCCGGGTACATGGCACTGATAGTTTTTTCAAGATAACGGCAACGTAGCTTTTGTTGTTTTTTAGCTAGCTTTTTCTTCTCCTTTATAAATTACTGACTTTTCTTCCCTGTTTGTTCCCTAGTGAACTATGTCAACTGGATGAACCCCAGCCATGGCTACAAACCTATCCTCTTCTGTTGAGGTATTGGATGCTTGGGCACTTGGCAAGCTACATATTTTTTGATACAGAAAATCCACAAACCACCATCTGTGCTCCTGATAATTGAGTCCCCACAATGAAATGTTGCCCATTTTGAATGGATTTGGGGATGCAGTGATGCTGAGCTTGTACTCTAGAGTTAAAAAACACTTGGGTGGCATGATCCAGACAGAACTCAGCTTCCATTAGCCCCTATGTCTATTGCACAGTATGTCTTGAGTATGTAACATGGTTCACTGCACATTACAAAGGTTATGTTGCCACCTTCTGAAATCTAGAAAGTCTAAAACTGCTGTGGCCCTGTGAAAAAAATGTTGCCCATTTTGAATTATTTGAGGAAGTTGTGATGCTGAGGTAAAGGTAAAGGTATGGAGTAAGATGTTTTTACTCTGGTATGCATTAACCTGAATATTCACACTGTGGCAGCTTTGTAGTTCAGTGTGTTTCACTATGTACTTCAAAATCCAATAACTGAGTCAGTAAAGAGAAAAACCTGAGTATACATTTTTTTATCTGTTTTCTATTTCTTCAGGGATTTGGTTTAATTAAGGGGCAGTGCAGTGGTTCTGTGGCTAAGGATCTGCATCTGTGGTTCAAATCCTGTGGCTGGCAGAGGAATCCTACTCCTTTGGGCCCCTGAGCAAGGCCCTTAACCCCAACTGCTCTAGGGGTGCTGTATAAATGGCTTACTCTGTGCTCTGACCCCAAGGTTCTCTTCCTGTCTTTGTGTATCATAAAGAGCAAGTTGGGGTTTGTGAAATGACAAATTCCTAATACAAAAAATTGTATATGGCTAATAAAGTAATCTTAATTTGAAACTTCTTTCCCTTACCTCTCTTCAGAAACAACATGTTTGCATTTTAGCCTTCCAAAGCATCTTTAAACAATACCTATAAATCAGAAATGAAATTGGAATTTTCACTTGGCCTCAGAAAATATCGCAGGCACTAACTCATTTCCACTCTGCCTTTGGATGAATTGGATTGTCAAAGACCTTTTGGTGCCTCCTTAATTGGAATGTGGTCACCACATAACAGTCAATCACACAAGATATTTCTGGAGTGTAGGCAACAGTTATCTGAATATTTGCGAACTAATGTAGATCTTAAAAGTCTTTTTGAAATACACTTCTAAAGCCAGAAAGTTTACAAAAAATATTCTTTAATATTGATGTGTATATTTGTGTGGTGGAAGAACCGTGTGAAGAGAAACCTTTCACAGGAAACCAGTAACAGCATTGACACTAACAATAGGACAGTATTTTGTGAATGTGTCCACTAAGTGGACAATATTTCAGAAGAGAAGTCTACTGTAACTTTGTTATGATTAAGATATCCTTGCACATTTAAGTCTATGAGTCTCTACACTTAAAAAAAAACTCTGTTCTAACTTTTCTGTACCAATCAAATATTTTGGGATTTTAAACTGAATTAACAAGTTAAGTTTGCACTTCTCTATTCTGTCTGTGTCTACAGAAATGTGTCAACTGATGCTGAAAAAGATTAGTTTTGAACATATTCTAAACACAAATCACAACTCACACAGATAAATAATCAAGATCAATTCCATGCAAATTGATACTTGAAATGGCTGATAACAACATGTTTAAAACCACTTTTTTAAATGTAATTAAAACCACTGCTTTGAAGACTTTAATAAAGAAATTGTCTGTTGCTACCACATACAGTATGCTGTTGAAACTCTAGGAATTGACTTTTTTATTGCTACCATATTTTCACTGGTCACTATCAGAATATTCTGTTAGAAATTAGATGATGGGCCTTTTATAAGATGACAAAACCTATTAATATGCACTACCAAAACTCTTGAAAGGAAAATTTACATATTTTGTACAGCTTTGTCATTTCAATTCTGTAGTTATTTATAAATACCTTTTTACTGGACTAATTTCGGTTCTGTTGACAAATGTACAGTATATGGGGGCAATACTTAATTACATTACAAACAGTAAAAACTTTTTGGTGGCAACTTATCATGTCTTAGACAGTCTAACAGTCTAATAGTTTTCAGAACAGGAAATATCATATGTTTTCATATCTTCTCTTTTAAGCAAGATTTAACTAGTGGAAGACTTTTCTTTGGGACTTTTTAAAAGTGTCTTAAAGGTTTTCCTTGGGATATCAGTTCTTGAATTATGCACGGACATGCCTCTATTAAAACACATAACATTACTGCAGTGGAAAATTGTTGCCAAGACATTTTTCAAGTGTTGCCACAAGCACAAGATGCCCTTCCCTCAAGCACACAGCCCAAGCTGAGAACAAAACGAAAAATAACATCATACACACACCTGCAGGCATGTACCACTGAGGTGCAAAGCCGGGACAGGCCATCTTGACTCCATGCTCCTCATGACAATGCAATTCACCAACAGTTAATAAAGTGTGTGGTGAAGGTATTGGCTAAAAGTCATCCTCCCAATTTAAAATGTCTAAAACCTGTGTGATTTTCAAGAGTAGCTGCAACATTCCTTGAGGCTTCATAAAAAGCTGCAGCCATCCACAGGGAGCAGCAGTCCTGAGGGTCATACGCCTGGAACATTTTTAAAACAAAGGACTTTGATTATTAAAACAAAACAGCCAACTCGAAAGCAATATTTCTGCTTCCCTGCAGACCTGTTACAGACAAGAAACCCTTGACGCAATACATCTCCATCCGCCATGAGGAGCACATCCTTTTCCCAGAAAACACTGACGGTGAGCGGCTCGAGCAGGATGCGGGTGCAGAGCCCCTCTCCCTCCCGCTGCAGAACGTCCTCGTACAGCCGCGGCCGCCAGGGGTTCCCGGGCGCCGCCATCGAGGTCGGCACGGAGATCCACCACCACCACGCCAACGAGAAGGAGGAGATGCAAGAGCTGAACACCCGGTTCGCCGGCTACATCGAAAAGGTTCAGACCCTGGAGCAAAGGAATGCCTCGCTGCAGGCCGAGCTGGCAGCTCTGCAAGGCCGCTACAAAGGGGGCCCCTCCAACGTCGGTGACGAGTACGAGCATAAGTTCAAGGAGCTGAAGGAGCTGATCGAGACGCTCACCAATGAGAAGGGAGCTGTTGACATTGAGAGGGGCTACATCCAGGAGGATATAGAGGTTTGGAGACTCAAGGTAGAGGAAGAACTGGCACTTAAAGGTGAGCCTTTTCTTTTACACCTCCTTAGCCTGCAGCCAAAGATTAAGTACTTTTTAATAGTATTTCTTTCTACAGTCCATTAATTGTCAATAACTCAGTAACACAGACACTCCTCAATTTATAAAAAATCCCAACTTGGAGCATACAAATTAAAGCACTACACAATATTATCTGCACTGTTACAATTAAAATCCTACATTCCTATGTTCTTGTAAATCTTTTGTATTGCAATGAATGAGAATGCTGCAAAGAAAAAGTTACCTACAGTATTTGCCAACCTGAAATAGTCAGCCTTAGTAACGTGCAGCATACCAAGAAATATCCATTGATTTTAAAACACTCTTCATTCTTTATATGCTTTAAGCCACACAACATCTTTAATGTTCAAATAAAATACCAAGACACCAAACCGGGATAAAAAAATGTTCTCTCCTCAATGTTTGTAACCTTGTTTCCTTGCCGTGAGCGCAGAGGAGGCTGAGGCGATCCTGCGGGAGTTCCGGCAGGATGTGGACAATGCCACGCTGCAGAAGGCTGAGCTGGAGAAGCGGGTGGAGCAGCTGGCGGCAGAGATCGAGTTCTTGAAAAAGCTGCACGACGAGGAGGTGACCGACCTGATGAGGCAGATCGAGGACTCCAAGGTGACTGCCAAGCTGGACACGGAGCGGCCCGACCTGGCCGCTTACCTGCGGAACGTCAGGGCCGAGATCGAGCGGGTGGCTGCCAGGAACGTGCAAGAGGCCGAGAAGTGGTACAAGAACAAGTTTGACTCGCTGAAGGAACACGCCAGCAAGCACGAGGACCAGATGAAGAGCATGAAGGAGGAGATCACCATCTTGCAGAATCAGGCCTCAGAATTGCAGAGCCAGATTGATGCTTTACGGAGCCGCAACAATGCGCTGGAGCTGCAGCTGGAAGATATGGAGCTCAGTCACCTGGACAAAGCAGGCGAGCTGCAGCACCTCATCAACCAGCTCGAATCCCAGCTTAGCGAAACCAAGATGGAGATGAGCAAGTACCTACAGGACTACCAGGAGCTCCTCAACATCAAGCTGAGGCTAGATGCAGAGATTGCCACCTACAGAAAGCTCCTGGAAGGAGAGGAGAAGAGGCTGGGCATTTCTTCACAAAGCATTTCAGGTGAGTGCTTCCATAGAAGTGGACCAGACTGATTTAGGATGACTGGGTGACAGTTCAACATAGACAAAGTGACAAATCACCAAGCATTCTAGGAGAAATCAATTTTCCAATGCATGTGATAATTCTAATTCCAACACCTGTTTTAAGAGTATGTCAGGAGACAGGAAATGAAAATGCTAATTTAGGGTTTGAGATGACAAACCTGAATGATTTTTAAATTATACTTTTGAACTGAAAATATTACTATCCATCTAATTAACACAATAAAAAACAGACCCCATATCCCTGTGGCAGTACCAAAAACAGGGATAAAGGATAATTAAACTGTTTTATACAGTTCAATCATCTTCTGTGCCTGTCATTTAATGGACATAGACAACCATGTTCTTTGAAGGTTTGACACACAAAACTGTTTGATGAATCATAAAACAATGTCAATGTCAATGTCTGGGATATAACATTGAAATAGGAGCACGGATTCTGTACAGGTGTGCCTGCACAAGTAAAAAAAGAACAGCCCCTTACACAAGAGGGTGCAAGCTTTCATACTTCAAATGCACGTGCCCATGCATATGGGAGTGAAGTAAGCACCCCCTGTTCATCTCAGAGTGCTGTGGAAAGTTGTAAGCGGGTTTCTGCATCTAAGCCTCACTTGAAATACCCAGTACTTTCTGAAAAGCGGTATTTTTAAGTGTCAGTCTGAGGGGTAATTGTACCGGTTTCCTTACCACAGATTCAGTGTCAAGGTTTTATAGCTGTAGATCTTTTATTGCAGTGCAGTAGGAGAAAAAGCTACGTTTTTGTTTTTGCTTCTCATTTCAGCTCACGGAGTCACAAAGGAAGAAAGAACCACCGCAGTGTCTCGCTGTGTGGAAACGGCCACCAAAGTCATTGCCTGAGAACCACTGGCCAGTACCCAAGCCAACCCACACTCTGCATGCCAAGACCTTACGGGGTTTGGTTACAACCAGTGTTTTCCCCAAACACAGAAAATCCAATGATGTGTGTAGTTATTACTAAGCACAGGTTCAAGTTAATGAAGAATATACCCTCAGTCACTGCCCAAACCCTCACCAATGTAACAACAATAAGAGTGTTCACATACATATATAAACCAAGTACTAGAGTGTAACCTCTTAATAAAGCTTGACTTAACTGCAGTAATGTTTTGGAGTATTTTTGTAGCCCTTGGCTCTAGGAAAGTTGCACAGAAACAAAAAAAAACACGGAACTGGGATTCCTATTTTTAAGGAGTCTTTAATTTAAGTCTGTATTCAAATCTGAAGTTCCACATTATCCTCTGCAATGAAACACTGGGTGTGATATACCATAATTCCTCATTAAAATGGTACTTTTTATGTATTTTACAAGAGAACATAAAAACAACCCATCTGGATAATACAACAGTACAACCATTTAATAAAAGTAATTGTCTAAATACTAACCGGTAGCTAATACAATCTTTTATATTCATTTATAGTAATGAGAAGAAAAGTCTCACTAATTGCTTTCTATAGAAAGCAGCTAAAATGGACAATAAAAAGATCAACGTTTTACTCCCTCATCAACACTAAAACATTTTAAATTTTTTATGTGTTTAAAAATATCTTTATCAATTTAGTCAAACACTTTCATTACCTAAGAGAATAGCGGCAGTGTCATGGTTGTAGGATACCGTTTGTGTTTCACTATTAAGAATGCACATATGGAAATTAAGTGAAAGTGCATTTCAAATTGAGAACAGAAGGCACTTCTTTACCTAAGAGGGGTTATGGGAGTATGGAACAAGCTACCCGGCATTGGTTAAAGCCGATACCCTGGTTTCTTTCAAGAAACAGCTGGATGAGATCATTGGATAAAATAACTACTAACCACTAAACAGTTTAGATGGGCCATTGGCCTCCTCTCACTTGTAACCTTCCTAATGTTCTTATTGTGGTAGCGCTGATGGGACTCTGTTTGTCTGCCCTGTACAAATGTGAAAGCAAGCCTTTGCTGCACATAAGCACACAGATGTGAAACACTGTAAAATGCACTTTACTAAAGTTCATGTTTTAACCCAGTCCATCATAAAAAGAAACGCACCAAGACTCTTGAACACACAAGATCAACTGCTGTAATGCAGTACCATCAACAGAAAAACGGGACATGAAATTGGTTTGTTTTCTGAGGGGGGTTACACAGCTCACAAATACATAATGAACATAACTGAAATCAAAAACAGATGGACAAGAAACCATTAAACAAAGACAACAGCTTTTTTTGCAGGCTAAGAGAGGATTTGATCCCAAACTCCTGTGGTATGCACACGATGAGATTAACGGGACAACCCCAATGTGTGCCGGAGACATGTTAAAGGGCAGTGAATCTTAGCAGGACCTCAGCTCTTGTTCTTCCGTCTCTTCAAAGCTTTCCACTCTCCCTCCTGTGTTGCCAGGCTGCCAAACAGCTCTTTCACCTTCCTCTTCCTCTCCGAGTCCCTGTGGCAGAAAACAAATAACGATTCATACTCTCAAGAACATACATGGCCCATGTAAGATAGATGGAACTGATTTACACAGAATATCAATTATAAAATGGAATTTGAACAATTTCTGAATAATGATCTAGCTAACCTAGATACATTTAAGAACAAATCCCCACTTTAAAAAAAAAAGACACCACAAACCATATACCATTAAAAAAAGGCCTTCTAGTCTGTGACCATTTGCCCTTGTTTCTCAGATGTTAAATAAAAATTACAAATGGATGACGTATCAGAACAGCTATAATATCTGGGCTCTTGAGTGGAATGACCAGGTGTAGACAGTTGAACTGAGTACAGCGACTTCCAGTTTGGGTCATGTCACTAGTCCCTATCACCGTGAGAGGAATTCCCCCGGCAGTGGCGTTAAGCATTGGACATAGATGTGTTAAGGCTTGGACACTGATGGCCAGAGCTTTCAAGGCTTTCAGTCAACAGTGACCCCTGTGATAGTGAAGGACACTTCTCTCCTTAGAAAGGTGTTTAATCTCCTATATAAACCTGTGAAACGTGCAGCATGTAAAAAGATCGGTGGATTGATGGCTGAGCAGGTGGCAAAAGCTCATTCTGCAATTCCTCATTCTACCTGTGAGAGTACAGTTATACAGTATTGTATGCCAAGACGTAAAGACACACCAGGCAATTCCTAAATTATTATTCCATATTCCATATATACAAATGGCAATTTTTAAATAAAAAAAAAACCTGCAGACACAATGTCCTTCAAGAAGCAGGACTGGGGATCCCTGAAGTAAACAAAGGATTGCGTTCCACTGATACATCAAAGTTTTTTGTAACAATAAGCTGTATGTAAAATCCTATTTATGTATAAAAAGAGTGTATACAAGTTAAAAATCTATTAGCCCTGGAGGACAATATTTTGCTTTAGAGAAAAATATTTTGCTCTAGATTTGGCTAAAGCAAAAATTCTAAACTGGCAAGAACCAACACAGATTTATGACTGAAAGTCACAGCTTTTCTTTTCAGAACAATCTATTCAGAAAAACATTCTGAAGAGCTTCAAAGCTTGAAGCAACAATATGAAGCCACAATTAATCACACAAAGGAGTTCAATCATTATCTCTCTCTTTTAAGTGTCTGGATGCTTTTAAATTGTACATATCTCCGATCATTATTTTTATCTGTAGATTTCTTTTTTTCCCCCTTTATCTTATTGGAATTTATGTCAACACCTGCACCAAGAGAAATTCCTTGTATATCTTGTACTTGGCAAATGCTTTGCTTTCCAAAGCATCCTTTTATGAAATACTGTATCTCAGGTGAAACATTACAATTAATACAGACACAAACCAAAATCAGACAAAATCAATTACACACAAAACCAGCAGGAACTCCAATTCAAAGCCCACCAAGACAAAAACAAACAATAAAAGACTTTACATACCTGGCCATAACTTCAGACAGCTTCTCCCTGGCCAAGAACCTGGTGTCCTTGCGGATCTCCCGAAGCGCTCCCTTGAACTCCTTCTTGTACTTGTGCTTCAGCCTCTCTCGCTCCCTCTCCTGTTTTGTGCATCCACGCTTCTTTCCGTAGTCCAGGCTGGAAACACAAGCAAGTCATGAAAAAATGGAGATCAGAAAGAATTTCAGGGGAGACCACAAGTTTGTTTTTACGCCACACGTTGAAGCATTTCCATTGTGTAAAAATCTGTAAGGTGTCCTCGAGCTAGCTTTGTAAAATATTCAGTTTCATATTTAGCAATACTGAAACTTTAACTCGGTTGGACTTATTTAAGACACTTACACTTCCACGATTTTCGGCGTGTACAATTTCAGAGGAACAGGCTTCTTTTTTTCCAACACTAGCGGCACATGTGATGTTGGAGTGCTGTTTATTGCTTCCAGAATGTCTTGATGAAGTGCCTAGATAAAAAAAAAATGGATGACTGAAATTAACCAAAACAACCAGGGTCGTGTTGGGACTGATTACAGGATTTTACGTGAAACCAACTAAACAAGCGATGTTCTTTGATAACTTCTTTTTAAGCCAACTTTTTTCATATTTTGAAATAGTGATGTTTATTTTTCATGGGTTCTACTGACATGAAAGAACAACTATTTACTAATTAATCTTGCTGAAGTAAAACTGCTGACAAGAAGCACATCCTAAACTTTTAATATACCAACATAAAAAACTGGAAGTCTGTGATACATATCATGGATGTTTTGACCTGAACTGTATGCTTAAAAGTTGTCTGCTTTTGTTTGGGATGTAATCACACTTCTTTCCGTCCTCATATTTAAACCTTTTTTTCTTCTAACTGATGCATCAATATTGCAAATTCCATCGGTGGGGACCAAATTTGCTTCACAGGGGTTAGTGGTCACCCATCATTGGCATTCTGTTTCTCAGGCTGAGCACCTTGCTGCTCAGTGTGAACTCCTAGTGGTTCCATCAGAACATTCCTTCCATCAGCATTTCACAGAGATCTTAATTTACCCTAAAGAGGAATTTCTCATCTGCTCCACTATGGTCACAATCAGGCTTGGCCTGATCTCTCAGTAAAGTGTGATGAATATCTGCTCGCCTCCCATACATGCCACACAGGTAAGCCTCTTCTTAGCTCAGGGTTTTCTCAAGCAATACTACTGACTTCTCCTTTGATAGTATTTTCAGATTTTGGCATCTTCTTAAGAATTAAATCAAGGTCTAGAGCCACTTTGGTTTTAACAGAGTATGTCTGAGGATTTCTGTAGCAGCGAGTTGTGTAGCAGGATGGTAAAGCGTGAGCTGAAAAGTTAAATTTATACCAAAACAACTTGGCCTACCGAGACACTGTCATGTTTCCTTACTTTACTGAATTTTTAATTTTAATGGAGTCTGGAGCAATTCATGACTGATACTTTGTCTATTAATATTTATTGCTTGAGGAATACTCCAGATCACCATCACTGAAAGGATGCTTGTCCTGTTAGACCTTTATTTATTGAAAGTTATTGACCCACACTATCAGTATGGAGGCAACAGTACTAACCCGTAAGTGGGAAGGATAGTTTTCTACAGGAAGATGTTTCATAAGGAGAGTTCCGATTGGCTGGAAGACTTTGCTGAAGGAAGGTAATGATTTATACAGTGATGTGCACCTTTTCACAAGGTCTAAACAAGTAGCCAATGAGGAGAATCTGCAACACAGAAAAACAGAAGTGAAAAAAGAACAGTTTTTCCTCAGCTTCTCAAACAACAGAAGTGTCTACTGTTCTGCCACCATTCCACAGGAAAGACTAAATCATATTTTTTTACAGTGTAAAAGTAATTATCTTTTTTTACAGTGTCATACTACCCCCAATTTTCTTTGCTCTGAAAATATAAAGCATATTATGTCAAGACTCTGCTTTTTCTTATATCGAGCGGAACGTGAAGATCGGGCATGAAAATTGGTCCAATATTTAAATTTACTGAAATTTACTCTTTATCTCCTTTCATAGAATAACAAAATTATGGAATGCATCTTGTTTTGGACTGATTTTGAGGACTTAAAATGTCAACAGACATTTAAGTATTTTAGTAAACTCTACCAGTGAGGTCTTCCACTCTTAAAAAAACAACAATCAGAGGTTCAATATCAGAATTCTAGATTTAAAAATTGAAAGTTCAAGTTCAAGACAAGACAAGGGAGTTCAAGTCTTCTTCTAAGTAGCATAGGTCTCAGTTTCAAATTGTTCATGAACGCAGCTTTCTGTACTAAACTCTACAGCTGCTTTATCAGGTTAACTAATTTAACAAACTCATAAAATAGTCTCAGGAAAAGGAAACGTCAAACACGGCCTTTTAAGTCTCCTGATCTGTTTGCTGGAACATACAAGGTGTTAGGGTCCTACAAAGACAGAAGCCAGCAACTAAACAACTATAACTTTAGATGCTGCTAAAATAAAAATACACAACTTGCTTATGTATCTGTTCACACTTCTTAAAGTGAAACTTTACTAGGCTCAACAGAGACATCCTTGGCCTTTTATAGGCCTCACACTATTGTGATAATTATGAGTATTTGCAAACACTTAACACATGCTTGTCTCAGCATGTATCTTGATACATGAATTAGGACTACCAAAAGGGTGCTACAGTACACTTAACTATGAAGGCTGTACAGCAGTGAAAGAAAAATAACAGTGACTGAAGGCAGCTTGTATGTGAGCAAAATGGCACAGAGAATGAGATGCATTAACAATAAGCTGACTAGTCTAGAGGAATTAGTAAACTGGTTCTGTGAGGCACAGACCACTGAACCAGGACTGTCACCATCTGTGTTATCATCTTCAAACTGCAGCAGCTACAGCACAAGACATTCAAGGAAGCGGTGACCTGAACATCAGCAGAATCACTGTAGCTCTCTGCATGCTACAGTTATTCTGCTATTACATGCTACTACTGAAGGTCACTCAGGCATGACATGTTTATAGCTAAGAGATGAAATTACCATCTGTAAGACCCGAGGTGCAAGTACAGAGTGAGTGTTTTATTTACCAACAAATGTAATTTTGCCCTTCACAGACCTGAGCATAGTGTGTGTTGAGATGTTGTATTGTATGCTACGTGGACAGTCATAATGCTCAAGTCAAGCAATGTTACTGTTCAGTGATACACTGAAGATGACCTTGAGCCAGCAGTTGTTCTGCTCCTGCAAGCCAATCTAGAATTGATTTTCCAGCACGACAATGCAGGACCACTCACAGCTAAGATTACAATGGCAACGCTCCAGAAAAAAAACCCCAACAAGGGTTCAATATAACCATTCTTTTTTCCTGATTTGAAACCGTCAGAAAGGCCATGGGACCAAACATTACTTAATCATTAATTAGCTGCTGGCTGTAGCTGTACAGGAGGAATGATAGAGCATCTCCTTAGCAACCTCGCCAGAAACTCATCTGGTCTATGTGCAAATGCTACCAAGAGTTTTCACCAGTGCATGCTCAGGAAGGTCATTCCAAAATATTAACTCTATGTTTCCAGTTTCAGACTTATCATGATTCTCTGTTCTGAAACTTTTGTTCACAGTATTTAATGTTTATTCAACTTTGGTATTACATTTTTTCTGTACCTCACTATATTAAACACCATAATATAATACAACATGCAAAAAAGAACAACTTAATTGTTTCCAGCCACTTTCAAAGACTGTTCTCTTACTTGAAATGGTCAATCTCCAAACTGTCCTTAAACTTCAGCCCCTGAACAGCAGAGAGTGGCTGTTGCTTTATCTTCCAAACTTCAGCCACCTTTTCATTCTTCACCACCAGCAGGTCAGAGCTCTTCCCTTTTGCCTTGAACGGAGGCACCACAGCGTACCCTGAAAGACCCAGTGAACAAGATGTAATTGACAGGTGCCTGCAGGTGTCGTACATTGCAGCTGTCCAGCACTACTACACAAGCTATCTTAATTCTATATTTAACCCTTAAGAACAACTCAAATTGCTTGATGTTAAGTGAAGAATTTTAGTACACTTTGAGCTTTTGTGTGTTGTATGCCTCTTTCATAGGAACAGCATTTGTGCAGTTTTGATTTGAACAACTCAGCAACCTGTAATGATCATACATGAGTACATGGATGATGACAATGTGGGCTAAAAGCCTAAATTGGGATCACAATCCAAAACTCAGTATTAATTGGCATAAAACCTTTTCTAAGAAATATTACATGTTCTGGATCATTAATCAAGCAAAAAAAAGCTTCTTAAAGTAAAAGTGTCTAAAAAGAAAATAAAGAAAATAAATTCAGTGGGATCAATTTAAAGATTCTAGATAGCATTTTACCACTGAAAATGCTTCTGAGACAGAGAAATATATCATTGCAATAAGATCCTAACAGACCTTGAAAAATCCAGCTGAGTCCACTGTGATGTATGTTAAAGTGACAGCACATTGCAAGTATTTAGCTAGCCTCTGCTAATGCTATAATTCCTGGCATTAGAATTATCAGAATGTGTTGTTGGCTCTTTATTGAGTTTCCTTCCTTCCTTCTTAACTATTATAAAACAGTTATCTATTATCTTATCTATTACAAAACCTCTACAACATACTTAAGGTGATAAATGTTTGTACTAGCAGGGTCCAAGTCCAGTTAAAAAAATTATAAAAGGGAGAAGATGGTAGAGCTATAGCTGCAAATGGAAAAGGCCAAAAAAAACAAAAGTTTGTTGTGATCCGTGTCAATCAATTCCTTCCTCAATCCATGGCTTTTCTTACTCCACATACACACTTTGTTTAATCAGGGCTGTCCAATCATTTCCACTATGGTTTTCTTTCCAACACAATTCTTAATAAGCTAAATCAACCCACAACCCTTAACTGCACCATCTTAATAATTTAGCCCACCTCTTCAGAAGTTGCCGCTTTAAAGAGACCTTTAAATAACCTGCAGAAACGCTGGCCCTCCAGGACTAGGATTGAACAGCCCCATCTTATATTAAACGCTCTATCATACTATGATTGTCTTGTTCCTGCCTACTACTACTTTCCCTCACAGGACCAACCCTGAACATTTTGAAAAAACAAAACAAAAAGTGATCAAAATTGTTGAATTCGATGAGATGTGAATTCCACTTATTCCACCTAAAGGTTTACCATTTTTAAATGAATTAATTTTCAAACACCTGAGCACATTTCTACTCCAGTGTTTATACTTCAAGGCTGGCTATAATTCCATTCCTGCTAACGTTTTATTTACACTGCTTGAGTGGCACAGATCTCAAACTCGAATGAAACCCTAAGTTAAAACCAAGTTTTGTTAGTCTTTTCATTAAAATGGTTTTAAATGTAGAAATCATAACCATCCTTTTGTTACCAAGTCCTGTAGGACTGGTTCAGCAGATCGGCGATGGTTCCCAATGCACTATACTGAAGGAAAGGAGCCGTGCCACCGGACGTGGCCATATAAGATCGGCGCTACGGACCTCTGTTGTCCAGGTGTTATGACGATGATAATGATTTTGTTACTGGCCACTCAAATCAACTTAGTCACAGACACAACAAATAAGCAGAACATAGTGCAGAAATTAGACCAGAACATCACATATACTGTACCTAATGATGTTTTATCAGGGACTGCTAAATGCAGAATCCCCAAAAGGAAGTTGATGAGTTCTGGTACAAATCTCTGGGATAGCGATACATATTCTATTGTGAGGGAACAAAGCACAAGTCCTGTAGTCACGTCCTCCAACGTAGTAACTGGACACTGCAAAGAAGCACAAAAAGCATTTTAATTTCATTTGTTTATATAGTCTGCATTTAACATTTGCAGAATGATTAGTGATTTTTTTAATTAAATAAATTATTCAGTGCTAAAAGTGACAAGACAATAACTGTCATATCTCAGTCAGCCCGGATCAAAGGTTTCTGAAGTTCCATCAGAAAGTTGTCAGAAGAGCTAGAAAACAGCACACATTCCATAAATCAGTGGCTGAGAAGAAGTAACTGCATTGATAAATAAAGCTGGACTGATGTTAGTAAATACCCACCTTTGTAAGTGATTGACTGATGTAAACCATAGCAGGAGTGACCACAGGGTGTCTGAAGTCCGAAGCAGGGAACAAAAGGGATGCAATCTTCAGATAAATCAGCTGAGTAGAAGGCAGAAGATGATTAGAAAGAAGGCACAGTTTACTAACACGTTTCATAAGATGCGATCTGATGGTAAACTAGCTTATATGATGGATTATACAACCAGACATATCTGAAGACAAAGCCATCTACAGTACTATATTTCTGGGACATCCATACCATGTCAAGACCTGGAAAAGGAGAACGTCCTTTAAGTTCTATTGCTTCCTCCATGTCATGTGCACTGTCACACAGAATTGACTGCATCGAAGTACAGGCGGCTTCAGGGAACATCTGGCACAGGCCATACAGCTGCCTGGGTGTGGGACAAATTAGCACAAAAATAACAGTTCTATAGCTGCAGTTCTGATTGGCAAATTGTGACCTTCCGTTCAATGTGGGCTGATACCTGTTAAAAACTGCCAGTTTTAATAGTAACGTTATAATAATAGAAGAAAATGCTGGTGGAGACGTTAAGCTAATTGTTGATGCTAATAACACAATACATATACTGTAACTTCTTACTGTATATAAGATGCCTTTTGCACGTCATATAACGTTCTCTGTACAATTTACAATGCATACCTAAATCAGAGAATCAGGTCAAAAGGTACCTGTTCACAATGAGTCATATCTCCGTTTGGTGCCCTTTTGTAACTGCCTTTTTAATTACTGAGGCAGCTTTTGTAAGGCATTTGGTTAGGTATAGTCAAACAAAGGCTTTTAATTTTGGGATAACTAAACTTTCAAGTAGATTTCAAAGGATGGCTTTTTGTAAAACATTAGTATAAAAGTATTTTGTGAAAAAAATTAATGAAGTTATGTGTCAAACTTAAGCATCTTATTAGCAGACTTCTATTTCAGTCACAACACTGCACAGGAAAAGCATGTGCATAGAACAGGAAGTTGCCTCTACTTTTCTAGATAAGTGTACAAGCTCCATCAATCAAACAGACATCAATGGGCCAAATTAAAGAAGTGTCATAGGTCATCTTCTGCAAGAATAAGCCATTCAACTATTTTGCTCATTTAGCTGCTAGAAGGCGTAGGAGTGGGCAGAAAAACAATGAGAAGGGTGGCGGTAGGTGCTTACGGAACAAGCTTGTTCACTGTTAGCAGGTCAGCGGGAGTTCTGGTTGCCAGTTCACCAACATATTCGAGTAGGAAGCCGAATAATTTCTGAAAAATAAACAAGTAACAGAAGCACCGGTTACGGCACAAAACAAAAACAATCTATGCAAAAATATTTTCATAAGGACAAAAAGATGAGGCAGTTTAATTTTAAGTAGTGTTTATTCTGATTATGGAAGCACTTGGGTTTTCAACTTGTAGCTTTTCACTTTCATTCCTCTCTCTTCTGGAAATCAGAATTTAAAATGACAGCAACAGCTGATAAACATACGACAGAATTATATAATTTAAATAGGACAACTTAGTGGTATAATTTGCATACAGCTGCATGGGTGTCTGACAAAACACCAAATATATTGTCCTACATCCAGGCAGTGTATAAAACATTAACATCCTCTAGAAAACACATTGCTAATATAATCTTTTTATTCATGATATTACTAGCATAGACCCCAATGACAGCTACAATATTGTCTAATAAATGTACGAGATGTATTGATCACCACATACTTGAAGTTTGAATTTATTTCCTGATGCAAGACTTGGGTGATTGCACTTCTGAATCCTCCCAACAATAATGCACTGCTTCTCAGGTGAATGCCCCTGGATTAAAGACAGCAAATCACTATAGCTTTCAGGAGCTAAAGAGGATAGAAAAGAAAAAAAGGGTAAAAGTTAACATCACTACTTTTGTCTAAACATTTTCAGTTCTATTCAAAGATTCCTCAAGTTCCAGTTTGAAATACAGACACAAATCTTTTTCTGTGCTGAAAAGTAAAAAACTGAAAGTACCTAGAGCTTAATAGAAAATTGAAATAGAAGCATTTTGTCAGAAAGCCTTATTCTTGCAAAAACTGCAGACTCACAGAAGAAAAAGCAGAATGGACGTTTGAATTTTTTTCAGACAGAAGAACTGTCCTGAATTTGTGTCCCACTCTTAGTAGAAACAGACAATATCCTGAGGCTGATGTCTTACCTGCAAATGTATATGGGAGCTCAGCTTTTGCGGCCTCCTGCTGTGCTATTCTCTCCTCCTCGGTCAGGGTCTTCTGTACTACGGGAAAGGCCTCCTCTTTATCTGTCTTCTCCTTTTCATCTTCCTCCTGGTTGCTGTCCTGCTCTGAGTCCAAGTCAGAGTGACTGCCCTCATCACCACTTTCTGCATCCTCCTCAGATTCCTCCTCCTCTTCATCTGCACTCTCCCCACCTTCCTCTCCATCCTCTTCCTCCTCTCCTCCTAGATCTTCTTCATCTTTCCCAGATTCCTCACCCTCCTCATCCGCCTCGATGTTCCACTTCCCATCCTGAGTAGGCAAAGCACAAAAGGAGTTACTGCTCTAATGAGCTGGTCACACAATCAGTAAAGGAGATTATTCAGAGACTACAAGTAAGCTTTAATAGGACATTAAAAAACTAAAACACAATAGCTAAACTCTGAAAACATAATGATACAGAAACTCAACTGCTCCAGTTATTATGCCTGAAACCAATTTTAAAGTGCTTTAAACTGACTATAAAAACATAAATGATTGTGACAACAAAATAAGAAACATCTTTATAGACTTTAGGCACTTCCAGAAGGATGGCTTCTGTTATTGTAAGGAGTTAATTAACTTGTTTAAACCATTTTAAAGTGAATTATTTTCTTTGTATCTTGGAATGTCAAGTATTTCATAGCAACTACACAATTTGGGATCAACACAGAAAAATTGAAAAAATCATCTCTTTGCCAACATCAACATTCTGTATGGATATCACATTTCAAGGTACACCTAATTTAAGAAACCAGAGGATGAGAAAGCAAACTATACAAAATTCCTACTTTGCAAATTAGATGGCAGTGGCGTCATTTTGTATTTTAACTTTATACGCTTGCAGTGTGCGGCTCTAAAAAAGTACAGTTTTTCACAGACATTCAAGCTGAATAACCACTTCTGTGCAGCATTTATTTTCAGGAACATAAGTATATGAATTTTCATTATTTCTTTCTTAGCATTAAAAACAGAAGTGACAAAAATAATGTTTCCCACTCAATTCACTGTCAAAACCTTAGGGATGTCCCATGGGAGATGTTAAGAATGTGTCCATATTTGAGAACTGCAGAGTTGTGGCATACGTTCTAATTACAGACCTGGTATGAGAGTGTACGGCGGTCCTCTTTATCCAATATGAAGCCATCATTCAGATCATCTGCAGAGAGATGAGAGACCTTCTTCGTGCTGTCCTCTTCAATGTCCCCCTGCATTCGGCGCAACCTGTCGGCCTTCAGAAAATACACATTTTAAAACAAGCCTTTTCTTGGTTATAAAGTCAGTACAAGCATTATACTGTGTCAGCTTTTATATTTATCTTGAGATTAGCAAAATAAATCTTTCCCAACACTGAAATACAATACAAAACAACGAACAGAAATCCTTGTTGATCACGCTTTCTTAAAAAAAGTATAAACATTGTCTCACTATTTTGTTAACGGCAGCTGCAAATAACTTTGCATTCGTCCGTACCTACTGTACATGTGGAATTCACCTCAGTGTTTGTCGTGGTGTACTTACTGTACCTTTTGTAATCTTGTCTCCGATAAAAATTAAATCCTTTGAGCAGTATCCCAAAGCACACCAAACAGAAATGAAAGCTTTTGCATTTAACGACTAGTTAAAGAACAGAACAACCAACCTCCAGTTTCTGGAGACGTTCCTTCTCTTCCTTGGCTAGTTCCTCCTCAGTCTTCATCCTCTCAGACGGTTGAGCTTTCATCTCAAAGCCCAGCTCCCGTACAATCATGTCATACTCATCAGGCTGATGCACAGAAAAAACAGATTGTCAGATTTTGCATGATGTTTTATTAGAATACTTTCGGCTTTATTTTACTGAAAGTCATCATGATGAGAAGTGCAAAATTAAGGTACTGGAAGCACTTTAGCCTATATGTCTAAAGAAACCTTGGTCTTCCTATTCTTAGGAAGGCCCAGCTCAATGGATAACTCCCAAACTCATCCTTTTCATTAAGTTCTTTGCCTCCATGAAACCCAGCACTTAAACAGCTGCTGACAAAGTCTGAATCCGGATCATCAGATCGGTTAAATCATGACGTCAGAATTGAACGGAGAAAAATAGTGTCCACATCTTCACTGATTTCAGCACTGAACTTTTTTTTAAACTTGAGTATTACATTGTGTAATTAATCTACATATAATATACCTTTACCTTTTAATAGAAACATGTATTATAGTATACATTACAGATATATTGTAAAACGTTTTACAGGCGCTGTTATAGCCGATCATTAGGAACTTTCCCACTAAACTTCCATCATACTTTTTGTATTACCACCTCGTTTTACCTTATAGATAGATGTTATTATGAAATGGTGCATTCCAGTATTCAAACGTATTAAGCATTTCAACTCTCATAAAAACCCCAGTGCTGTGAAGATATGGCCTGTCTGCATTACCTTGGGCTTCTCATCTGCTTCCTTGAGCTCAGACTTTGGAGTCCTGTGAACCAGCAGGCTCTGAATGGATTTCCAGTCATTGTCGAGTTTTTCTGTCAATTCCTGTGCTTCCTCTCTCTGCGTCTGTCGCTCTCGCTGGAAAGGATAGCAAACACTATATTCATTCAATACAGTACTGACACCCCGACCCACCCCCACCACATCTGATCATCTTGTTGTCCAACACAAACAACAGTCATCTTAATTATGGTGAAAGGCAGACCAACAAACGCTTCTATGTTTAATCTTGACATCATGAAATTATAAACTTATCTGTGTATCCATTGCTTAAGACAAGGAATTCAAAGAAATGTCCAAAACTGAATTATCAAACTATATAAACAGCAAATTTATGAATGGTGACTTAATTATTTCCTTTAGACTAAATGATTCTCCCTGAAGTCAGTAGTAAATGATTTATGTGATACAAAGCTCCTCTGTGCTGCACTGCATTTCACAACCAATAAAAGCCAAGGATAAGAATTAATACACTCCAGGGAAGAAGACATGCTTTGTGCCTAAAGAATACTTTTTTTTGTCACCCCGCAGACAAAGTCATAAACAACATGGAACAGACAACATTAAAGAAATGTGACTGCAGTCTCTTTTGTAGCGATGCCTCGCACAAAAATAATAATTTATAATCATCTTTAGACTCCTTCAACTTTTAATGAGAGCTCAATACATTAAGGACAACAAGGCATTTAAGAAAGCATCTGGTTGAGTATTTACATTTGAGTAAAAGCTAAGAAAACATCTGAGGTACTTCTATTTTCAAGACAAATGTGAAAAATTCACCAGTTGAACTGCAAAGTTACTGCTTATTCTATCTATAGGATACAATTTTAATATAAGGATACTCCAAGCTTAAGAATTTCCAGAGTTTGCTCTGTTCAACAGCAAGTTGATCACCAGAATTTTTGAACTGAGCTTTCTGATGATCAGTCCATGCTTAGACAGAAACGTTCCTTCCTGTACCTTCTCCAGCTTTGACTTGACGATCATCTCTTCAATGAGTTCCTGGCGGGTCTTGGGCTTATGAGTGCCGTCATCATTGTTTTGCTCGTGTGGAGACTTTTTCCTCAGCAGGCCCCCTCCTCCTCCAAAGTGGGATGCAGTGAGCTCCGCTGTCAAAACAGGGACGCAGAGCATGTTAGAAACAGGGAAGGGGTTGAGAGGCTTAATGGAAGACACTTGTCTTCTAACAGTGCTGGTTCATGACTGAACAACTGTAGGACATTTAAGGAAAAATAACATTTCTTCCAATTCTTCTGGCTTCAGCATCCATTCAAAAGTTACGCCCACATTAGCTTTGCCTCACTACATCTTGTTCTTTAATCTTCAGCAGAAGAAATGGAATTTGTCCCACCATTAAAATGAGTCACATTATGTTGCTATGCAACACAAGCAATTGATGGAAGCTGAAGGAAACAAAACCTCAGATTTCACTAAAATAAAATACTTATGAAGACAGTGCCTATAATAATCAGGGAACAATAGTTCTTACTTTCTTATAATTTTTAATAATGAATTTAAATAATGAAATAATGAAATAAACTCAAATTGAGTGTATTTGGCATGGAATATCTTAAATGAGTGATTTTTTAATGAGATTCCTTAATATATATTAAATTACAGCTTTTGTGCTCCACTGAAAAGCAATATAAAATACAAATGTTTGCATTATGCATTTATTTCAGACCTTAAGTAAACTTTAATGAATTTTGTAATTAGAGTATCTTATTTCTTTGTGAAAATGTAAAGGCTGATCTAAATTAACTTACTTTGTTAATCAAAAGCACAGTCACCAATATAAACCTGAATAATTTCATATTAACTGTACTTAAAGTCCATGTCCATCCCACATCTTTCAGTATCAACATGAAGATATTTTTACACAAATGCATGTTGATTTAATATCAAACTTGGATATCACCTTACTGATACTCTCTGAAAGAGCCTTTGGTTGCTATGGTTACAGAGCCTTGTTAAACTAGGAAGAGACTTTAGGAAATGGGGCTGCAGAACCTCTCACTTACAGAACGTACGTCATTTAAAAAAACGTACAGAAAAATACACTGGGGGCAGAGGAATAAAATCATTAGTTGAGTCACACATTTACTCTTCCTGTACGTACCTGACAAAAGACCCTTTTCTTCCGTGTCACTGTCACTCTCAACCACATCATTCAGCTTCTCAATGTCTGCCAAGGACTGGCCGTAATGGGTTAATTCCTCCTCTTCGTTCAGGTTATAGATATCCTTCTTGTCATGAATGCGCTACAGAAGAATATCCAACTTAAAGTTAAAATCTGCATAATCAATCTTAAATGAAACTTTAGGACCTGTGACTTCAAAATATTTACTACCCATAGAGGTTTGACCCATTTAAAATAAAAAAAAAAGTTTTCATTGACTTGAGTTATAGTGCACAACAAGCTGTGGCCGCCTGTGAAATGCTAGACTATCAGTACTTGGTTTGTGTGTCCTAAAAATGGGTGCTTGTTTCTTACATGAGCTCCAGTCACACAATGAAAGAATGAAAATCCTAACTTCAATTTTCAGATATACCAGCATTCATGTCTTTCCAGTCTTGCACCATTCTGTTTTATTCGCACTTGCAAGTCTTAAACTTGGTTCTTCCTGGTCCCATTAACACCTTTGCAGGCCCTACACCTCCTTTAGCTATATAGTAAAAATATTGATACTATAGCATAGTGTGATGAAAACACAGAGGGGTGTTTGGACAAACTGTTCAATGTACAGCATGATTACATGTATACTTATCACATTAACACTATTCTCTAGGAATTTACTTTACCTGATGTTAAAACTCAGGCAGTCACATATATAAAATCCAGCATTTTGGTTAATATAGTAATACCTGATATCCTTTATATATCATTGTTTTCAAAACACAGCATCACCTCTACTTGAAACTGCCTCTGAAACAAGCACACTGATCACAGATGAGCGAGGACTAATCTCACTTTCTTTACAGGCAGACAATTAATTACATTCGGACGCTGTTTTTGTGAGTACAGGATGACTGAATTCTGTCTACTTTGTCTCATTCAGGTTAAACAGAATTATGGTCACAGAAACTCAAGAAAAGTACCCAACGAACTCACTGTCCCTCTGTCATTCTTGTTTTGCTTTTCACATTTTCAGTTGTATAAAAGCACTGATAAGTACCTGTCTCTCCAAGGCAAACCTCTTTAGTATTTTTTCTTCTGGGGCCATTTTTGTATCATATTCTCCAAACCGTCTGTCAATAATTTTATTGGCCTTGTTCTTCAGTTTGTATTCTTTCAGCAGGGTCTCTTTACGCTAAGGATAAAAAAAAAAAACATTCAGAAATATTTTCAATTATTACAATTTATGAAAAAAATAAGGAGCCAAAAGAACCTTACGTGCCTGTTCCTATCTGAAAATATCTACCTGAACTAAAATATGTGTATTTGCTCACTTTCTGGTTTTCAGTTATTTCTTTAAAGCACTGCTCTTGCACCAAGTTTGCGTGTCTTATGATTATAATATAAACCAAAGTGGTCACAATTATCAACAAGATTATAGCAGCAACCTGAAGGCTGTATTAGAGGTTTAACCATATACTGTTTATTAATACTTATTGTATTACAGAAGGTTGTCTGATTCAAAAACATTAATTGAAATAAACTGCAAAGTCTAATGAAGAGTTATAGTTTTAGGAGTTATAGTTTTAAGCCTTAGTAAGAATTTTGATCTCAGGACCAAAAAACCAAAATCATGCTTTGTTGATCAACAATACTAGAGTACGACATACCAAGTAATTTTTAAGATAAGTTCTAAAATGTTAAAAATGTTAAAAGGGGGAGCTATAACAGAGATTTAAGAAAACACACTGCTTAAATCAAGAGATGACACAAACACAGTTCTATCTGGTAGTTTGACCCTGTGTACCATCTAAAGTCTGACACAGATTCTAATGCAGACAATTACTATCCTCTGAGCTGCTCCACCGAGCACAGGTTGAGCCCTACAATAACCAGCTTGATACTGGCGGAGTGCTGCCATGGACAAGCTCAACAAGCACAGCCACCCCTGTAACCTCCTGGGATGGTTGCAGGTTGGAAGATGGAAGATGAGCCATATACAATTTCTTGCATTAGGAATTCGACTTTTCGCATACCCCAGCTAGCTCTCCATGAGACACAGACACACAGAGAGGGAGAGAAGCTTGGGGTCAGAGCGCAGGGTTAGCCATTGTACAGTTGGGGTTAAGGGCCTTGCTGGGGTTAAGGGCCCGACAGAGTAGGATTCCTCTGCTGGCAGCAGGATTTGAACCGGCAACCTTCCAGCCACAGGCACAGATCCTTAGCCACAGTACCACTGCTCCACCTCAGTGCTGGGGAAGAGCAGCGCTGGTTGGCAGTGCTGTTGGTGCTTTCCTTCAACTGGCCGGCAGGAAATATCCAGTTTGGGCTGCATAGCATGTAACAAGATAAAAGATAACTCGATGGTAGACGGGCTTGAGGAGTAAACACTTCCTCTTTCTCCCCTGTGTGTGGTCACAGAGCTTGTAGCTACAAGCTGTGACTCATGACACATACAGGTGCTTATTCCAGATCATGTGAATAGAACCAAAAACAACTGGCTCTTTGAAATCTTTTGAATCTTTTCTGCAGTAAGTACTAAAGTGTACGTGCACATCTTCTCCATCTCATGCTGATGCATCACTCACAGTATCCATCAGATTTTACAGGCAACAGGCAGATCTATATTCTTGTGGGGTGATGATGATAAAAGAAAAATAACGTGGTTATAAATTAAAAAAAAAAGATAAGTAATCTCCCAACTCTCAACCTACGCTCTCACCTTTTTTATGGCTTTGGAACGGGAAACACCAGGCAGGCCGACATCGTGCTTTGTCTTTCTTCCTAGAACGTCAAACTTCTTCCTATTTATCTTCACCTCAAAGGGGTTGTTCTTTATCTCCGTGGCAGTCTTGGTCTTCTGCACTTTGTCAGCAAGGCCTTTTTTCTTCTGTGTCTTCCCCATCTTGGACAATCTGTTACACAAACACACAAAGATTGACTGATCTGGCATTGTTACACAGTATTAGGGTTTATTCATCTTGTTGGTTAAGAACTTTTAAGTAAGAATAGAATCCTATAACGATTGGCCGACATACTGTATATATGTAATAAGTTGCAATTATGGATGTACTGGCTTTAAAGCATCTTAAAAATGGTAAATTGTAAATAATCAGCAGCAATACTTTAGAATTTCACAAAGAGTTGTGTCTAATTACTTAGCAGTCTGGAAATACATGTAAAAACCATTTGTTGTTGTTTTTTTTCACTTCTTTGCTAAGTGCTTTATTTTTAATTATCACTAGCGTAGGCTGAAGCTGGAGAACCCATTAAAATAGTTTGAAGTACAACACTAAAAATCTTTCTGTACATTTTAAGTTATTTTAGTTATAAATCATCGTTATCAAGTGCATCGTTACATAACAAAACACTAGTTTTACATACAGAACATCGCTTCTGTGCATTTATATCAGGCACAGCTATCAGTGCTGACACTTGTAAATAATTCTGCAAAGAACTAACCACTTATCTCATTGTCAGAATTCTGTTGCGTAACCTGAAAGTATGAAATACTTCCTGGCGATGATTAGAATTACAGGAATTCAAATCGTTGCTTACCCTTTCTTGGATAAAAAGTCCAAACAAAATTAATTTTCCAAATTATTAGAACGAATCCCACGTTGCTACAACATAGTGGCCATGTTTCAATGCATAAAAGGTCGGAGTTCAACAACCCTCTCTTCCGCCGTTCGTTACTGAAAAAAGTTATATTTTCTGTTTATCGCCTACTACTGGTAGCCTCCCAAAAGACATTTCTTTCGTCTTTGTAGTACATTACATTGTTTTCAACTTATTACTGCCATCTACTGTATTGGAGTATAAAGTGCACCTACCATCTGGAGTTGTACTGTATACTGGCAACTTGCTCCTGCTTTCCAATTCAGGTTCTGACTTTCAGCTCTTGTAAGAGTGATTGGGATTTATAACGAATTTCGGGATCTGCCAGAATATATTATTTCTGGCATAATAGTAGACTACATAAACTACTATAGTACAGATATCATGTGTTGGACTACAGGAAGTTGCTGACAATCTTTAAAAGATATTTAAACTTTCAAATTTTCTTTTAAATATCTCTAGTGTTCGCAAAAGATACAGAATTCCTGTAATTATCTGATGTTATTACAATTAATCTGTTAAATTTATGAGATGTAGGTTTTACTATAGGTTTTTGCACAATTTATTACATAGTGCTAGATTAGTTCAATATAACAATTCCATAACACGTGTAAATAATACTATAAATTATAATAATAATTGCTTACACTTATATAGCGCATTTCTGAACACTCCACTCAAAGCACTTTACAGGTAATGGGGACTCCCCTCCACCACCACCAATGTGCAGCATCCACCTTAAATTAGTATTTTAATTATTGAAGTCCATAACTGCTTTATATTAAAATTATGTTTATTGTAAACTTTAACTGCATTTAATTTAATCTTTTTTTTTTACTTTTTAATATAATTATTGCTTATTACAGATGAATGAGATACAGCTACATCTTCCTAATCTACGGTACATTGATTGTGTCTAGTTTGGGATGTAAAATTGCCACCCCACCACCACATATTTAAGTCTATTAAAATATGCCAGTCAAAGAAATGTATGCAAAGTAGAAAGACTTAGGCAGTGTTTCTAATACAGAACCACAAGTTCTGTATATGATGAAAAATTGACTATGAAAATAGTGTCCTCTTATGAAACAATAAATGGTGAAGGAATAAGGATAAATAAACCCCAATTCAATTCTGAGGTCACTCAACTCACTTCAGATTTTAAGTCTAGATAAAAGAAATGGACAGAGGGGTTACCTTACAGATTCAGCAGTGCTTTATAAGGCTTCTCTATATTTTGCCTTCAACAAACCCTTTTTTGTTGGATACAAGTGGGAATGTAAAAGACGGCTAGCAAAATTACTTATGGGACATCTCTGTTCACATGTATTTAATTGTCTTAGAAAATCAAGAATATATTCAGACTAATACATTATTTCAAGGATTTCTTGATTGTTTAATGAATACACTGTCAGATCACACACAAGATACTTCTGACAGTATCTTGTAGGGGGAAAACAACCAAATTATTAATATCTTTGTTTAATTTTACATAAGTAAAAAGCTAAAGTAACAATATATTGAAATGTTTAAGAACTATTGCTGCCAACTACTGGACAACATATGTAAGGAATCCATACAGTTGTACCGACCAGTGTCTTGAAGAACGTGGAACCGTATTGTAGGCCAACGAAAGTAGCCTTTTCGTTTAAACGTGTCTAATTTGGAAAACTAGAATTTTTTTTCTGTTGATGAAATAGGTTTTCACCGGATTAAAACCATTAGAAAGTCGTTTTCTAAATCTCCGTTGCAGATTTACGCCCTAAAACAATATCTCCGTCAGCGGAACTTACTCTTCGTGTCAGTATTACAAATTTCACATTTATCACGTCTTTGTAACCACACTTTACTTAAGGATCTGCGTTTCCCCTCTTTAAAGCCAATGTTTTCAACGCATGCGTCGCATTTGTGTCATTGCAAGTGAAATCTGAAACCGCTTCCTGGTCCTTGCAAGACTCAAGTCTGTGATGTACAATTGTAACTTGATTTAAATGTTAATGCTGCTCGGAGCCTTCATGTCGCATACCTGTAGTCAGTTTGGAAGAAAGGTAATAACAATATTAGTTTGGAAAAAGTTTTTCTCGAGCATGTTTATATTTATGCGCTTAATATTTTTATTACACGTTCAACCTTGTAGAGCATCAGTGCCGTCCTGCGTTAGAAAAGAAATAAAACTAAGCGTATATGTCTAGAATGTACCTAATGACAGTACAGCACTGCGAAATGAATTGAACCATCATCTTAGCTTGAAGTCTTTTTGTAGAGATGAGATGGCTTGACGTCGCACTAAGCTTTAATAAAATATTTTGTATATGGAATATATTATGTTAACATGCACGTACTAATTGTACACTTCACGAGATAGCATTTATTAAGTCACTGTGACTTAATGAATTTGGTCTGTTTTTACTTTCTTACATTATTTTAAAAATATTGAAAAAGTGGTAATATAATTCAGAAGTAGCCATTAAAAGTCATGGGTGGGTTTAAACCTACACGTTTTATTCATTGGAACACTATTTTATAAATTATTTTCAGCGTTTACAGGATTGTTTTTTTGTGACTCGTCTTTGATCTCTTCAGACTTCAGAGTTCAAGATACAGGTCCTAGATGGATCAACAAGTCCGATTTGTTTTGCTACAGCAACACACCATTTTTTCCTCCTTGGCTTTCGGAAAACATTTAATTTGTGTCCTAAAAGTGAATGCTTTTGTATGTAGATAAGAATATGTTTTAAACCATAAGTTTTCAAAACCGTTTGTGGGACAAAATTAAAAAAAAACATACTGAGGTCTGCTGCAATGCATCCACACTTTTATTTGGTCAAAAATACTGGACACAAAAGTATTGTACTAAATGGTTTTATGCTGCACAAGGAAATGCTTTAGTTCATTCTGAAATTTCCAGTTGGGTCAAATAAAATTCTGGTGGTAATATAATTGCCAGGTTCCTAGCAGACAAAGCACGGTGATACCTACTATTTTTCACAGCTCAGAATATCACTCAAAAGTATTTACAATCATGCCTGATGTCACTGCATTTTTAGCTGTTATTTCAAATAATGATGATGTGGTGAGATACCAAGTGGATTTGTTTATTGTCAATGTATTACACCAACAAGAATAGTTGGAAAGCAAATAAAATTCAAATTCATCCCCAGTAATGCCACAGCTTTATCTGTGGCATGCTTGTCATTTTTGTTCAGGCTCTGATGTTTGGTGAATAGCTTTGATCCTCTGTTCTGTACTGTTCACCTGCCAGTTGTTACCTTCAGAGGCTCCAAGCTCAATAAGTAGGATAAGGAAGGCTAAGAATAAGGATAATATTCAGCACACTTTTATCTTGCCTGTTTTCCTGTCATTACTCCAGGAAGTAAATTCAAGGAAATAATGTGTTTCAGGTAATATTGACTTGTAAGAGTGTTCTTACTGGCAAGCATTTGTTTTTTTATTTTTCCTTTATCATAGTCATTCTAGTTATAGAGTACTTTTTAAAGCATGTTTTTATGGTGCATCTTTGATTCTCATGCTGCTTCTTTTTAATCCTGTAACTTTTAACAAATATTTTGCACTGCATTCAGTCAAAATGTGTACAGCTGGATTTTTTAATTAAGTAGTGTCAGTGTTTTGCTCCTGATAATTTTAAGCAGAAGAAGGCAGTAACTGCAAAAATTGTTTGAAACTTTGGCTAAGAAGAGTTTGAAACAAATACATTTAAAAATTATTTCATTGTCACATGTACTGTAGCTGGTACAGTATACAGTAGTTAATTTAGAATTATGTTCTACAGTAAGTGTAAACTTATTAAGTGATAATCTTCAATCTGAAATTAAACAACTTGTTTTTTCAAGTCTGCAAAGATGCAATGTCAATGTACATCATTGTTTAATTCACTGTTAATGAATAGCTAAGAAGTATTTCTTTCCTTGTTCTTACAGTATATTGCGTAATTATGCATCTCCGACCTCTAAGACAATGTTTCACCTTTGGTTTTTGAGGGAATCGCTTCAGCCTTTTCGAGGAAATATGACACAATCATTTATAGCCAAAGTAGATTTCACCACAGGCGTAAAAGAGGAACAGTTTGTTTTTATTTAACTGATATTTGTGGCACGTTTGTTTAAGGTATTACAGTTACAATTATTTTATTGTTGGTTAGAAAGCAGTGCATCTTGTTTGGTATTATAATCCTATAAGTCATGATATGCATGCAAGCTAGGCAGTAAGGATGTCTCTGCAAAGTAAATTTAAGTTTTCACTGCTTATAGTTTTTCTGCTGTCTCTGTTTTCTTGTTGTTATAGGAAGTTCATCTTGAGAAGTATGAGTGAAAGAAAACAGGCAGGAGGCAACACGATGGCAAACCCTGAAAAAACCAACACTAAAGCAGAAAGTGACTCTTCACGGGTCATTACTGTGGTTTTTCTAGCTCTCCTGTTGGATCTTTTGGGGTTCACTCTGATATTACCACTTCTCCCTTCAATTCTGGACCACTACAGTCAGACCGAGGTAAGCACAACACTTTCAAGGTGCAGCTTTCTGCCGAGCCTGGGTAATCCTGAGTTAATGGGGTTGTTTTGACATTAATGCACAGATATTTGAAATGAGGGATTCCTAAAAACAAACTCGTTGATAGAGACGGTCAATGGCTTTCTTCAGGTTTCTTAAGTTAAATTACAGCAGATAACTTTCATTGTTCCATTTCTTATTTTTCTGTTTTGTTTTAAAAGAGTGCTTTCATGTAAAAAGGCATTCAAAATATTAGGCTATACTTTTACTAAAAGCAAATTTTCCATTACATAAGTGTTGCTTACTCCCCTTCCGAAATGCCCAGTCATGTTCCTGAGTTTCTAAAACAACTGCAACTTAAAATGTTGTCAAACCTTAATATAAACAGTTGCTTTATAAAAATAAAAAAACATTTTTTAATCTCCAATGGACATAAGTTAAGAAAGGATAATAAGAAAACCACTTTTAATAACATTTTTAGGCTGTCATTTTTTACATGCTTAAGTGTCAAAGTATGTTTTGAAGACAGAGAGATGAAAGACAGTTGGCTTTGAAGGAGCTTGACTGTTGTGCAGGAACAGTCGGTCCTTTGTTTTGCTGAAGATGCACATGGTAACCCGTGGTGAAATGTCAGATAGGTCAGCTGGCTATCTGGTGTGTGAAACCCCGAATTCTTTGTCGCCATATTTGTATGAGCTTGAGAAAGCCTTTGGTGTCCCTGCATGCCTACAAGTATTTTCAGAAGATTAACATAATGAGTTTGTTACATGAGGCAATTGGCTGGCATGCTTTATCTCTTGCACCTATATCCTGCACTGTTTCCCTGTGTAACATTCCTAGAGACCCAGTGTTGATGCCCCAGCCACCACCTGGTAACACAAATGATGGATTCTACCCACCCTCGTCAAGTTCTGGTGAATAAATGGACACTATGAAAAGTGCTTGTCCATATGTGCTTGTGTGTGTCCTGGGCTCACTAGTGTCCCATCCAGTCCTGTCTTGAGACCTGTGATTCAAGGACAGTCTTAAGGTTGCCATGACCCTTACAGGGAATAAGCTGCTTTGTGATAATAAGTGGACAAGAACAAATATTTTCCCATGAATCAAAAAATCAAACAAAGTTTTGAATCTTTTAGTTTTCGTTAAATAAACAAAAAATAATCTTTTTTATACTGTTCTGAAAATAAAAAATAGATTTGCGATGGAAATTAAACTAGTTGTTTGTTTCAACAGGATGGGATGTATCAGTCTCTACAGAGCATTGTGGACTTCTTTGGGGCAAGCATTGGGGTTCCAGTGGAAAGGAAATACAATGGTGTTCTGTTTGGAGGTAAGTTGGAAGGAGGTGAGAGAGACAGAGGTCCTTAACCTGGCCTGCCCTCCAGCCATGAGGAAACACTGGGAAAAAAGATCAGTTCAGTGGTCTCCTTCCATAGTAGTGCTTTAAATGGTTATGAAAATAGAAAAATCAGAAGTGCTCATTGGTGTCACCTGCCTACTTAAAAGAAGCTCATGTTCATTGAAATTTGTGTCATTTTTAAAACCTAAATAATATAGATATTATAACCCTTCATTAATTCAGAAAAGAGTACTGCACTGTGCAGACTTGCTGTGGTACTAAAGGCTCTAGAAGTAAAGAGACTGTCTTGACTAACTTCTGTGCCGCGCAGGTGCTGCCAGTCTTTTGTTTACCTGTTTCTGCACTGCACGTTGTTTAAAGGTATACCATGCTCCAAGCACATTATTCCAAGAACTTCAGCAAACAGAGCCTCACACACTCTCCTCCACTAAGAGTTGGCTCCCTTATTTCTGACTGAACAGAATAATAGGTTGGTCATTTTTGACGAACAGACAGAAGAGAGAATGACCATGAAGACTAGGACTTAAGGCACATCTGTGGAATACATTGCAAAGCTTAGAAATAAGAATACTGTTGCTCTTAACAAGCACTCGAAAGACCACTTCTGAGTGCTGAAAAGAAGACATCCTAGTCAGTAGAGTTTATGTAATTACTGTAATTCCTCATTCCCCAGTGTTGCAAGAATCTGTTATCATTGCAGATGAACTTGTGTTATTGAGCCGGGCCACTGTTTCATAGATATAGTATATCTCTTCTTCTCAATTTGCATTGCATCATCCTAGTGATAAATGGCAAACAGACTCAAAAATCAAAATAGATTTTTTCACAGAAAAAACATCCTCAGAACATTAGAACAGTCATTTTAATGAGTGATTTGTTTGATTTGAAATGAACAATAATTTTTTGGCAAATTAAGAAAATGCATAACTCAAAGCTGTGATAAGAGGATGTAAAGTGGACAAGTGTTTCAGTGGAAAGCCAGCTAAAGTTGGTTCACTGGTGGATGTTTCTGCTTGCTGTGGTGCCAATTTGCATCTTTCCACAGATTTCTCAGTTAAATGCCAGGAAAAGTCTCTTCAAAAGCCTTTTTATGTGCAATGGTTTGTGAGGTTTCAGGTCTGTGGATTTAAGCCCAGTTCTTTTGCTCTTCACATCAGGTCTCATTGGCTCCCTCTTCTCCCTGCTGCAGTTCCTGTCTTCCCCTCTCACGGGTGCTGCCTCAGACTACTATGGAAGGAGACCACTGATGATGCTTTTAACGGTAGGGGGCTTGGGTCAAACATGACCCCAAGATAACTACTTGAACTGTTAGCAGGGCAGTCAATAATCAAACTACAGATGACACATTTGGTGAGTTGATAAGGATCAGTCACTTATTGCAGTAACTTTGGTCTTGACAGAGGTCTGATTGTTTTTGTTGAATCCATGTTACATCATCATCTAAACAGTGCTAAAGGCTAGTGTTTAATTAACATCAGGTTTAGTGGGAACACAAGTTTGCTTGTGATTAATATAGGATTAAATTATATCAGATTACAAATAATCTGATATAATGATAGCATATAGATATACAGTAGATACTAAAAGGATTTTGACCAAGGACCTTGTGGATGTGGATGTGATCAACTGTGTTGAACTGATGTGAGCAACTTGTTTTCTGTTAGTTAGATAACGTTGAAACCACAGCTAACAGCAAAGCAGTTCCAGTAATACCAACAACCCTTTCTAATCTGTTAGCAAGGTGGTCAGCAATAGAAAAGACAGCAACAAGGTTCAGCAAGAATGGGTACAAAACATTCAGCAGTTATTAGCAGATCATTAGTAACTTTATATAAGAGCAGTTTCTGTACTGTACTTTGAGTACAATGCATAGAACCCCGAATCAAATGGCTTGTAGATTTTATTTAAAGTGATCTTATAAATGCTCAAACGACCCAGTGATCCCTGAAGCCTCCCGGATGCTTGCAGGCAAAATGGAAAGTTAGATATTACTAGGCAGGCCGGGGTCTACTTTCTGCCATTTTTATTTTTAATTTAGAATTGTCAGGTAGTTTTGTTATACACATCCAGTCAGCTTTTCCAAATTGTTTCTCACATCTTGGCTTACAGCTACAAGCCTCACAATCATATACACAGAGTATCCTTCAACAATCTTCTAATCTACAGTACACTAGATGCCTGCAATCTCTGGGATGTCTTAATGTTTAGCTGAGAGCTGATGAAGCTACAAGCTTCACAAGTGCCCCGTCCAAGTAGCTCTGGATAAACTCAGCCAATTGTTCATCACATCTCAGCTCTCAGCTACTAACCTAGTGGCTGTACACAGGGGAAGCGTAGGCAGATCCCTCTGCCAACTATAAGTCTTCTATCTTTCAACACATCAGCCCTATACTGGAAGTTAGGTGCCGATTGGAGGAGAGGAATGTCCCTCAGTGATACGTTGTTGCCTCAGTTGGCCATGTACTGTGTCTCTTAACTGTTACTTAGTGTTTCCCGTTATTCATGCAGATGGTTCTATAACAGGAATTTTAGTTTAGGGCTAAAAAACCTGTTCAAAAGATTTAAACAAACAGAAATTATTCAAAGTACAGGTGATAAATAATAAAACTTGGATGGGCTTTCCCTTTTCCGTAGTACAGTCTTAAATTTTACCCTTTTTTGGTCTCTAAAAGTGTAAATTTGCTTTTAATTATTTTAAAAAAAGTCTCAAAGATTCACTCTGTGCATGCACCTGAAAATAGAAGGGTTTGCCTCACCAACACAAGAACAGTCACCAAAAAGATGTCCTTGAAACCAAACATGCATGGCACAATTCTGTGTCACTCCTATGAACACCTCAGCCTCATTACCACTTTTTTTTAATTGGCCAAATCCAAGATGCAAACGTTCTTTCTGAAGCACTTTGAATATCAATCAGTTGCAAGTCAGTCCATACAAATTCTTTGTAGGAATCACCATGATCCTTAATGAGCAAAAAACAGTAGTGGTGAAGTACAGCATCTACCTGTGCTCACTCAGCTCAGGGTTAGAGTATGGCATAACACTTTACCAGATTAAATGTGCATTAATTGTGGCAGTAGTTCATAATTGAATGTTGTACGTTTTAATTTGGATTGTTAACTATGCTATTTTCATTGCATTGCAACTGCTTGTTGAAACAGCTGTGTAATTAACAGCAACAGGGCTTTTTAAGTAACAGTGAAATACTGCTTGAATTAAAGATACAATGTGGATCTGAAGTGCTTAGGTTGCTTATGCCTAAGACATTACAATGTATTCATGCATCTCATACTCGTGTGAAACAGATTTTGTCAGAATATGAAGATGTGATGATTTTTCATATCATCCCCTACTTGGCTTGATCTGGCTTTCTTTCCTAACAAGCTGGAGAATAATTAGATATGATCTAGACAGTAACCCTGCTTTCAACATGTTTTGAAAACAGGTACCCCCAGGTGCTTCTACACTACAGAGTTGTGTTCTCTTGGTTCATAGGTGGGGCTGATGTCTTCCTACGCACTGTGGGCAGTGTCCAGGAGCTTCAGTGTCTTTCTCCTGTCCAGAGTTGTGGGTGGCGTATGCAAAGGCAACGTCAGTCTCTGCACAGCAATAGTGGCGGACTTGACCTGCCCAAAAGCACGCAACCGAGGAATGGTAGGAAATTGGATGGATTAGGAGCTGTTAGCTTCTGTTTTTATGTTATCTACTCTGTTATTTTTAGTCTGTGCTTGCAAATAGTTTAAGAAGGCTTGTGCTTAATTTAATCTGATAACAGGGAAGTTTAGTGCTTGTAAATACTGACCAGCTTCAGTTTACTGCTACTGGTGGAATTCTGCCAGATTTTTTCAAGCCAGCTTCTGATAGAGATGAACATTCTGTTTGAAGTTGTGCTTCAATCAGTAGGAAATGCAGTGATGACTACTGGGACCAGTATTTTTCTTTAAGCTCCATATCTAAGAGAGCCAATACTGCTTCTCAAAAATACTTTACCCTGCATGTTGCTACTTATTGAACTCTTGTGTTTGGTTGGTGTGGCTAGTCAGTTTTAGAAGGGGCTGTAGTAACAGCTGATTTGCCACTAGAGGCTGCTATTTATCATCCAATCTTTATAAATAGCCACAGTAGGTGTTTATAATTTTTTGTAATGTTGGTGAAGGGACGCGAATTTCACATTCTCACATGGGTGCAATTAAGCTTTTGTTTTTTGAGATGTTTGAGTGCTGTCTTTTTGTTGTCTGTGACCTGAAAAAGCATTTGATAAATACTTTTGGACTTTACATCTTGATCATTGCAGTTTTTGTGTGCAGACCCTTGGAATCACCTTGGTTAAGGAGAGGGTCTGTGACAGCTGTATTTTCATTTTCATTTTAGATTTCACTTTAGGTTCATTTTAGCTGCCCTGTATAATTCATTCTAGCTCCTTTTTCTAAACAAAAAGGAGATCTTCTTTAATGGATTTTAGTGAATGTTTAGTTATATGTTGTATTACTTGAAGAACTTCAGTTCACTAAGAACTTCAGAACTAAGTAATTTCTTTAAAAAACAAAAGTGTTTTACTTCATATTTAAGGGTGACTTCAAAAGTCATGGCCTCCTGAGGTTGGAGCAGGACTGTAAACAAGTATAGAATTTTGGCTACAGTATTTTTTATTATCTGACAATGTAATTTTCCTTGATGTCTAGTTCTAGAAAGGGATTATTTGGGGACATAATTGACCATTGACAGAACAAATGCAGCATTAATAGAACTGTCTGCCCACCTAGAATTTCTGTAGAACCAGAGATCTGTGGTTCACACTTTCACATGTATCGCTCTTCACTGTTTTAGGCTATGATTGGTGTTGCCTTCTCTCTGGGCTTTACCTTTGGTCCGATGATTGGTGCCTATTTTGCCCTGAAACCCACAGAGGATGAGATCTTTTACCAGGGTCCTGCAGTGCTGGCTCTCTTGTTCTCTGCAGCTGATTTACTCTTCATATTTGTCATGCTTCCAGAGACACTTTCCAGGAACAACAGGGTAAGACAGTCATGCTGAATTCTACCTGAGGAATCTGCGGATTACAGTACATGACACATTTTAGAATCTTCTGCTGGCACTTGATAAAAAATGGTAATGAATTGTGTCAAGTATTGTATTCACGGCTTTAAAGCAGTGAACTACGCTTAAGAAAAGCAGAACAGTAACATGATGATGAGATTTTGTCAGATCTCAGACTAGCACTTGAATACGAGTCCAGTGAAAACCAGGTTGTTGTTGTAAGAGTTGTCAGTGGATTTATTGGTGGGAACTTTTAAATCAAAGCCCCAATGTGATGTAGGAGGTACCATCCTTTGGATGAGATGTTAAACTGAGGCTGATTAATCTGGTTTACTTAAAGTGCCCTCTTAATTCATTTAGTGAAACACTTTTCTGGTTTACTATAATGGGTCTCCTTCGACATGTAAAGATATTTGGGATTCTTTGTGATAACTAAGCAAACCTTAGTACAATTATTTTAAGTATGCTTTAGCAAACCAAAAAAAGCAACAAACCAGGAGATGTTACTGCCTGTATTTTTCCATTTTCTTAAAGATTTTTTGTCTTATTCCCAAAAGGGGAAATCCACTGATGGGGATCAATTTGTTCTCTTCAGGTCTCCTCAGTGACTTCAGGGATACAGGAATCCACTGACCTGCTGAGCCCTCTTGCCTTGTTTCAGTTCACTGCTGTAACAAGAAGACAAGACTCTCCTTCTAAAGAGAGTGAGTATCCATTGTAAAATGGACTTCATTGCACAAAAGGCTTGAGTTTCCTGAACAAATTACCTGGTCCTGCTGACGGCATTACTCTGGGTCCTTAAAGAATGGGAAAAAAAATCTGTTTTGATTAGCTATTAGAAACCGAATAATCAAGATGAGCCCAAAGAACCTCCTCTTTTTTCTAAACGCTTTTCTATATAATGTGCAAGAAGGAACATGAAATAAAGTTGTTTAATAAAAATAAAATAAAAGAAAAGTCTTTTAACATTCTAAATATATTCTCTGTGCAGGAGAATTCTGGTACGTCAAAAATAAAAACATTTTGTTTACAAAGAGTGAACATTATACAGTGTATCTTGTATCACTAGTCCCCTTGTTAATCTCTTATCTTTATAAATAGTGGAATTTTCCTTTTACTGTGCTGTTTTTCTTCCTTTAAGGTATACAGAACCTTAAAGTCCTGGGCTTTGTCTACTTCTCCTACTTGTTTCTCTTCTCTGGACTGGAGTACACATTGAGCTTTCTGACTCATCAGCGCTTTCAGTTCACTAGGTATGTAAGTGTCCAGCTGTGCACCAAAGGTCCTAATTTCCTTACAGTCTGAGCTGTCCTGGTAATTAATAACATGGGTGGTTTATTAAGGAAAATTATTAGACTTATTATTAGCAGAGATCTAAAGAAGTAGGATTTATAATTTAAGATCCCTTTAATAAATTTCCTTTCTAGTCTATTTGAAACTCTTTAAATCTAGAGGCTCATAGACTGATAACACTATGGATGGTGCATGGTTAAGACATCTCTAAATCAAGTGGGCTGTGAATTCTAACATTAGAAAGGAAATTAAGTATTGGGTGCTTCAGGTGGCTTAGCAGCTATTGAAAACCAACAGCTGTCTTGCCAGCTTTTGTTTTGTTATTGTCTTCTTTTACTTTGCTATAACCTGACCAAGGCAGTTCTGTAGTCTGGTAAAAAAAAATCAAATTTAATATCTAATCTTGTTGAGTCATAAATAATTACCGTTGTCTCACTGGATCTTTGCTTTGTATTTAAAGTGTAGGCACTATGCTGACAGAAATGCTGTTCTTTCATGTTAAGGCAGAGGAGTGTCCTTGTCTTACAGCATGCAGCAGGGGAAGATGTTCTTCTTTGTCGGCATTGCCATGGCGTTAATTCAGGGAGGGTATGCTCGGAGGATTAAACCAGGGAAACATATCAGAACGACCAGAATGGTAAATATACAGATCATGCAGGATGTGATGAAAGAAAAAAAAAGTGCGGAGAGAGTTGTAAGAGACAGTTATTAAAACATATTGCATTGAGTAAACCAGAACCATTGTTTTTTTTACGATACAGTACATGCTTGTCGAAAGGAACAAGTTGTATAATAGAGATGTGAAAAGGTTTTCATTTCAGGGAGATATTTCCGGGGGAGGGGGTTGTAAAAGAAATTTCTGTTCACAAGTCATTGGAAATCATTTGTTCTTTTACTAAAAAAAGAATCGCAAATTATTTGGGTTGTAGGGTATAGATAATTGTGACAAGTATAGACAATATTTTAAGGTTTGGCTCAAAACTTCAAACCCCATGAACGCACACAGGAGAATGAGGACAGAATCCCCTGACCCGCCCCTGCCATCACGTCACAGCAGACCAACTAGTCTCAGCCTACTCTGGGTGGCACTCAGCCAGCTGAACGCTGCAATTTAGGAAATCTGGTTTTGTGACATGATCTCTTTTTTTGACATGAATTCCTAACTTATGAAAAAACTCATTAGGGTTGAATCAGTATATCTTGCCACACTGTGGGATGCTTCAGTCTGGGCTGAAACATCCTTTTCCATTTCCAGGATAAAGTAAGCTGTTATTTGACTTTGCTCGCAGAGTGTTTTGGGGCTGTACTCTTTGAATCATGAATTGAATCAATTCCAAAGTGTGGGTCATAATTCTCTTGTGCTCAAGTACCCCTCTTCCCAGATTCATATCACTATATAGCTTAATAAGTGGTAGTAATGAGTTGGATTCAGAATTTTTTATGTGAATTACTACAACTGTATCATATTTTTCCCTGTTTTAAGCAAATAATATTTTTAAATCTGGGAACCTGCTGTACTCGGACTAAATACCATTCCTTTTTCCTGTAACCAAGATACTAGGGCCAGCCATTCAATTTTGACTAGCAGCTTTCCTGAATGAAGACTAATTGTGCTGCAAATCTACATTTTATAATGGCCCTGGCGAAGCAATAGCTCTGTTTTGGCTTTAAACCCAGAACATTTATAAGCTTGTGAAGATTCAGTAATAGTTATGCCAGGCTAGTTGAAAAATCAGAATAAATATTGTTTTTATTTTAGATCCATGTCTGTAATATGTTAAATAATTGAGTTCATGGGATTGTGTACCAGGACATTTTTCTCATTGAGAAATATTGATGATTCAGTGATGAATTTCTGTGTTCAATGCTTCTTTTCAGGCAATAATAATTTTGATCCCTGCTTTCATTCTTATTGGCTTGGCTTGGAGTGTATCGATGCTGTATGTTGGACTGTTGCTGTACTCCTTTGGTAAGCCTCAGAATTCTGTAACTTCTCAAAAAAGGAGCTTCATGAGTGTCTCAACGCACAAACAAGATGGCTAGAAACAGAGGTTAAGGCCTATAGTTAAGACATTTACCATTTGAGTCTAAGCACAATATGCTAAATCATAATAATGAGGCTAGTTCAAACTAAAAGAGAAAGTCCAGTGCTGCACAAAGCAAATGAAGCAGAATAAAAACACACAGAGATAAACTGTAGGTTTGAGATGAAATGTTGTGTCTGCATGTGAGCTGAAAAGGAACAAGATGAGGCTTGTTCCACTCCCAACATAGAAAGAAGGAAAACAATTTGGCTTCAGAGCCGTGTGTGCTTACAAACGTCGACCTCACGTTTATTTTTTATTTTTTGCTTTTCAGTATAGAATTAGCATCTACATTTTCCTTTGCAGTATGCAGAGTAGTAATGTAACACCCTGGAGCTATGTACTGTATTCCTTGTTTACAGTGAGATCAATTAGTAATGTGGATTACCAGACTGAAGGATTAGGAAACATGGCAAAATATAGAGTAAGAGTTATTGAAAGATGCGATTGAGAGCTGAGAGATCACAGGTGTCTAACAGGTTGTCTAAACAAGTCTTGAGCAGAAAAGGGTAGAGAATGAAGAGGGTGGCTGTAGAAGAGGGAGAATACAGAGACAGTACAGAAAGTCTGGCATTAACTGTAATGCACTAATGCTTGAACGAACATCAGACATTGATGAAGTAATCTCTATTCTTCTCTCTCTCAGATATTAGGCAGTGAGGCAGCAAATTAATTACTGATAATTTCACTGTATTTAGCATCTTTTACTTTGGAGATTTGTACCTTTGTTAAATATATTATTATAATTTAATGTGTTTAACAATTCACCGCAACTAAAAAGACTGCATTGCTCTGCCACTGATAATAGCTTATGATAATATTTCACTGCCAAAAATACACTACCAGGCTGCATCTTTAGAAAATAAAGCTAATTTATGTTTGCTGCTAATAAGGGCTGGTTATACAGTTATTACTGCTTATTACATGCAGTATTCATTAAAGCTCTGTGCTATCTCTCAGTATGTACTAGACATAATTGCATAGCCTAATGTTACAAAGGTCATACTTTAAAGAGAATTTTAAATGTTTAAAATATAGATTTTATTGAATTTGCTTTTCCTTTTCTTTCATAAGAAATTTAGCAAGTCCAAGTGGGGCCCCCCTTAAAATTATTATACAGCACACTTGTTGTACATGTAACCAGATTGATTTTTTTCCATCTTTAGGTATTTAGGATGGTTTCAACAGAAATTTATTTTTTAAGACTTGCTGAAGCCATTTTTTTTTCAAATGAATCTATATGTCTCATTTTCAATATCAGAATAATTTGTATTTTTAAAACTTTACCAAGGATCACAGAGTGAGTTCCAATAATTAATGGGTGATGAATATATTTGATTGCAGCTGCTGCTGTAGTTGTGCCTTGCCTGTCAACCCTGGTTTCTGCCTATGGTAAGTGAAACAAATGTTTTCTTCCACTATACCTCCATCACATTAGATGTAGCTGCTTTTGAAGGTCAGCAGATATTAGGACGAGATTACAGGATCAGTGACACACCAACACGGACATTTCATTTCCTAAGTAGAAGAATTTCTATATAGACTATTATAGATGTGTGCTGTTACTCTCACACAGCAACATACCTGGCCCCTGAAGGAAACACGGCTTGCGCTGAGAAAAAAGACGCTGAGTTGTTTGTCCATCCAGTAATACTGGGTTACTGTTATCCTCTGCCGGATATCACTCCAATGCTTAGATCTTCTGTTGAAGAAAAAAAAGTTTTTTCAAATGGATATTAAAAATAGTTAAAGAAACTTATAAAAACCCTCGTGGCCGAGGACCTCCACTTGATCCAGGTCACTTCTCAAGATCATAAAATGGGGATTTATTCATTTTCCATGATAATGTCTCCAGCTGGCTGGTGAGGGAGTATTCAGCCACAGTGGCTTTCACTTGTTTTGCTTTGTGTTAGAAATGCATAAACATTGGACTATTTTCAGAGGTCTAGATACAATTACTTATTAAGTGGTTATTTTGTCTCCTTGCCACTATTCACTTTTAAAATCTGAGAAAATGTAGTGAAACAGTGTTACAGTAAAATAGCAAATTAGTATATTAAACTCTACAAATGATCATAAAATCCATAATAATGTAATAAAGATGATCAAGTCAAGTGTTCTTACTTAAGGTCATAAAATATAAAGCACCTTGAATTTGTTCTAGTACAGTGCTGACCCCGAGACTTGATAAAATGCAACCACAATAAATCTGCATGAAAAGCCATGCATATTTTCAGTCCTGAACAGAATGACTCAAGTTAAGACGCTTAAGTCTTTTTAGAATTGGGAACAATCTAGCCAGCAGTGTTGAGGAAACCCTCCCTATTATCAGTAAATGGCTGGATGAGATCAATTAGCTACTAACAACAAAGTGAACATGATAGCTTGAATTACTCCTCTCATTTGTAATAATTTGTATATTTTAAGTGGTTACATTCTATGTTCTATTATGTCTTTTCAATTATCTCCACTAGTTAATCACCACCGAATGTATATTAACACAAAAAAATACTCTGCAAGATGTTCTGGTCGGAATACAATCTTTTTATTTTACAGTTAACAATAAGAAGTCTGCTCCAGCCGAACTTCTAACAAACTCCAATTCTGCTCATACTGCATAAAATCAATTGCTTTGTCTCCAGGCTCAGCCAGTCAGAAGGGCACAGTGATGGGGATCCTACGCAGCCTTGGGGCTCTTGCAAGAGTTCTGGGTCCTATTGTAGCATCTTCAGGTAAGTCATTCACTGTTCTTATGAAATAGCATGGATGTACTATATTGAATTTCATTTTAGATTTCACCCTAGCTTAGACTGATGTTAGTTGTTTCTCTTTGGCTAGTGGTGAGCCAATCAAAATAAATCAATATGAAAAAAGAAATGCTCATGGGAATTGTAACTGTTTTAACTGAAAATAATGATATACAGACATAAAACCGGAAATTTAGAAGGCAGTGTCTTCTGTCAAGGATAGTTTTGACAGTCTTGTTTATTGGAAAATCATCCAATATTGATTTATGCTGCCAGATTTTTCCGTCATCATTTATCTGCACAAGGCGAAACTCCATGATCTTTTTTCCCCACTTTGTTGAACTTGCAGTGTATTGGCTGGCTGGGGCACAAACCTGTTTCATCGTGAGCTCGGCCTTCTTCGTTGTACCTCTGGCACTCCTCTGGAACTTCAAGGACACAAAAACAGAGTGAGAAGAGGTCCATCGGGTATTTTGAGGAAGTTGGGGTGAATCAACATGCCGCGCTGATCAACAAGGGTGTCTGAAAAGTGTAAAGATGACATCTAATAAGTTGTATTATTATTTTTGCACCTTTTTTAAATAATGCTATTATATGTATGTTTGGAACATAGAATATATTTAATTGATTAAATGGTACAGTTGGGAAAACTAAGAGTATTGTTGAGTTGTCATTACATTTTGCACATCATCACCATTCCGTTTTAATCTTCAAACTGATTTCATGGCTGCTTAAGACCATTAACACTTTGCTGAGACTGTATGTACAGTAGCAGTTGAAAAGGCATGACTGGTGAGAAGAAAGTGTGTGGCTTCGATAGGATTAATCCAGAATATCCACAATATACAAGCAGGCTAACCTTTCCCAGAATCCACAGCTTACTCCATATCTGCGCAGAATTGCCTCTTGTCGTGCACTGTCTCGCTGTGGCTTCTGCTGTCTAAATCCAAAACAGACGATTCTTTACTTCGGCCGTGATTGGAGGAAGGAAAAGAATCACTACGAACAAAACCCAGCAGATTCAGTTTTATCTGAACTTTATTTTTACCTGGATCTGACAAAAATACGTACTGTACATCTCGATATACCAGTATAAATGCAGTTGTGCTTAGCACATCCTAACTGTGACCCTGCTTCCATTATTTCTCAGTACATGTATTTTCCATGAATGCTGCGTACTGTGTATTTATTTACTGCCTTTGGAAATACAGGAGAGGGGACTGTTCCAAGGGCCTAAAGGAAAGGGGAGAAGGTTGGTTCTCCATGGATAGGACAGTGAGCAATGCTCATATGCACAACTAATTATTCACAACAGATAAAAAGACAAATGTGCCACCTTCGCAAAGTGGATAGCTCACCAGGTCAGAAATTTAAATTGCTTGTTTGTTTTTGTCTGAAATAATTCTTCCCACAGAAAAATATGAAATCAGACTTTTTTTAAAGGAAAAGAATTTATTCATGGATGAAACAAAACAGTACCATGAAAATAGGAAAGCATATGTCCTCCACAAATGCACAGAAGAACATACCAATGACTTTAAAAAGAATTTAATGTGAGTACAAATTAGAGCTTTAAAATCGATACATATATAATACAGAACTTGACACTAGATGATTACTGAAATGTGTCTGATGGCTTAGTACTGTTATTACATAAATCTGTCAATAAAACACAAAATAGCAAAAGAAAGTGACAGAGTCTTAATGTACAAAGAACAAAGTATACAAGCTGAAAGCCATTAATGCCATGCAGTCCTCCAAGAAACTTTTTGCACAAAATAGCAGTTTTATAGTGGTTTGTAATTGCAAGATTCACAAATTGTCTGGTCAAATGTAATCAGCATTGGTCCAGTGTCAAACTGTCCACATTCTTATTTCCACATGAATGATTGTTTTTTTTTAACATTGACCTCCCCTTTGTGTCTGACAGAGATTTTAAAATATCTTCACATGATTTCTAAAAGTCACCTTTCCAAAAAAAAATGATTCTGAGACAAGAAGCAAAATCCAGGTGAAGTAGTTCAAGACATCCCGTGAGAACCATGAAGCATGGTCTAACAAGAATATTACCTCTGCCTTATCCTAAGAAATGGAAGAAGTACTGGAATATTCCCTTTTCTGATTAAAAAAACATCAAATTTTGATGCTGGATAAAATGGAATCCAGAGTGTTTTCATAACAAACACACTTTAAAAGAATTAATTTTGCTTTGGAAGCACTATTTAATTTTGCAGTACAATACACTGGTGTCTTTTTCTTTTGGTAGTGTCACTCATTTCCTTACTTCCCAAAGCATCATTCCCCATCGCCAGTACGATGACAGACACTGCCTGAGAGAGCAAGGAAATATTTTGTCCTTCCAAAGCCAAGAACTGCATATATAAAACTGAATAAACTGCTGAACAATACAACTAAAAAGACACAGGAAATTTACATCGCATTTTTGATGCATACTCCCAACCCAGCAAATTCCTAAAAAAAACAAAAGAAGTTTGTTTACTTATTCTATAAACAAAGATACGCAGATTCTTGTATTATTTTGAGCCACGAGTTTGCATGATGCTTTTCTTTGTAGCTGATGCAGTTTGCCGACAACCACAATCGGCTTCTTTGCTCCAGGATGCATTTATTGTGTCATTACAGCCATGCTTGTTGAGGACGGAAATACCTATTCTAAATTAAAAGTACTAAAATCATGTACAATGAGTATTTTCATTCAGATCTTGCGGCCTCCAGATAGTAACAAATGAGTAACGTGAATACATTGAAGCGTTTTAATTTTTTCAAAAACTCTGATTTGGCCGAAACAGATTACCTTCAATTACAACTAGTTTCATTAATGTAAAACACAATTTTCCATTAAAATATTACTTGAAAGAAATCTGGCTAGGTTATATTTTATTAGTGCAAAAGGGACAGTGTGGTCATGGTTTTTGTAAGGTTTGCTGCATTTTTCTTCAAAATTGTTCAAAATTTTTACCCCAAACCATCCACTCTGTGGTCTCCAAAAGTGATTAGATGTACATTATCTTACTGAAGTCACTGAAATCATCTCCACATATACTAGAAGGCACCACTACTTATACTTAACAGCCAACATCTTAACAGTGTCTAGGGCAATAGAATTTAAAATCAATCTGTGTATGCTTTTGTCAGCTGCTGGTAATTAAATTCAGAAAACACTTGCCATCAAATCTGGGAGTGGTGAGTGTTGCAAATCTTTGATTTATTCCAGGTTGATTTTAAGACAAATCCTCATATTCCTTTCCTTTTTGTATCGTGCCAATGCCAACTGCTTTTCAGGAACATCTGAGAGGTCCAAGCTGGTTAACTGAAGTGGCAAGAAGAGTCACTGAACTGCACTGGAGTTCAAATATGGTTCTGTTCTGTACTGCCTCCCATTACATGCAAAGGTCAAAGTCAAACACCTTGATGTAAGCAGGACACTGATGTCATGTGTGTACTTGGCAACATTGTTTGACTTTTTATAATTGAGGCTTTTGTTCTTAATACTGGCCAGTACAGACTAGGCTCAGCAAGAAAGCATCTGAATCTAATTAACCAGCCTGTCACAAGGCAAAGCAGTACTGTAGTTGTACTCATTAATGGAGCACTAGAAAGACCTTGCAGCAGGCAGACTACCTGGTTGGACGCAGAGCTGGTTCTATTTTTAAATGGATTGTATTAGAAGCTGCAGAGCTCTCACAGCAGGAGTAAGGTCTAAATAAATTCACACTCCACTCTCAGAGAAACCATTATTTTTTCTTCTTCTAAAGTTTGTTTACACATTTCAAAAGCACTTTTACATTTTTCTCTCCTATAACTTACTATCTTAAAGTGGAAGAGCAAATGTCCCAGAATAAAAAGAGAAACAGTGCAAAATGAGACTAGTTCTCCAGATTTCCAAACTTTCGAAGCCAGCAACATTTTAAGCAAGTAATATGAGTTCTGGATTATTTGAGGCATTTTCTCTTATATTTCTGTACAGGTAATGAAAAACAGTTCGGCCAGAAGAACAAGAAACACTTACTACCAACCTTTTAGCTCATTCTCAAGGACAGCAATAATGTAAGTATTTCTGGCCGAGTTCTGTTTTAGAGCCATTTTGGACTTGCTCATCGAACATTTTATGAATTCTCAAAAATGTATAAAAGTCATTCAGATCAAAAATAATAAGATAGAGGTTATTTAAGTGAGACATAAAAGAAACATTCGGAGTATGTAAACACAGAAGGAAAATATTCTACATGTTTCTGAAGGCAGCTTAGCCATGCTATCCTGTGTTTCAATATGGAACAATAGAAATAGTTGAATGCCAGGCTTTTCTCCACAGCGCCATAATGGACAGCCCACAATGAAACACTATGAGACGTAGATGATTAGCACCCTATTATTTTGCTTTTTCAATTATGGTGACGTCAATTAAACACAATGAAAAGCAGTTTCTTCTTGTTTTTGTTGCATTCCTTACTCTAAAAGATAGTACTGATACAGTCCCAATACATTCTAGTGGTTAATTGCGTTTAGTAATATAAAAGTAAAACACTAATGCTCACGTCAGATGCGCACCAAAAATGACAAGTGTAACAAGCCACATGCTGCACTTCATGGTACTTTTTGAACTCAATCACCCCTAAAAGCACAGTTCCAATGCATCCAACTATAAGCAACTTCACCCATCATTCTGGTGCATATTGGAGGTGAACACTAGCCTAAACAAACAAAACTCAGAGAAAGGGTATAATCGGCTGCGCAGAAGACAGGCCTTAGGGCTCCGATTTTTTCTTGTTTTTCTTGAGGAAGGAAGGCGTGCGGAATTTCTTCTTCTTCTTGGAGGGGGACTTGCTCGGGGATTCGTCGCTGCCCAGGTCAGCGGAGGCGGCGGCGGGATCATCGGGGGTGAGGGCGACTTCTGGGTCGGCCGGGGTGGGCCGGCTCTCGGGGACCTCAGGCTGTGGTGGGGGCTTCTCAGCCTGGCTCTGGGGCTCGCTTTCAGGTTGGGCGGCGGCGCTCTCCCCCACACTGGCAGGAGGAAAGGCTGGGGCTTCGGAGGGCTCGTCTGGGGTCAGGTCTGGGAGGGTCTGTCTCAAGGTGGCCGCATCACTCTCGTCCTTATATGTCTGATCCTGCTGAGACTCTGCAGGGTGAAGGAGGAAAGGGGGTGAGAAATGTAAGCTTTTCTAAAGGAATACCCATTACCGGAGGTGTTAGGAAGCCAGCCAGGAAAGAAGCAGCAATGGAGTCCTTTACTTGTTTTATTTTTCCCCATATCCCACAAATCAATTATTTATGTATTAAGGACTCCAGTTTGTGAGTACCATATGCCTCATAAATAAACATGATCTTCCAAGCTGAACTTCTGATCTGATCAGTCAATGCGTCTACTATGGCTTCCCTTAGTACTTACCTAGTAGTATTTTAATGGCTGGGTTTACATTAAAATAATAAAACAAATAAGACCATTTTCACCACACCACTTCTGCTATGCTTGTCAACAGTAAAAGAGTTCACGTGTTGCTAAAGCGCTCCCTTAAATTTCAAAGCTAGGCCACTAATAATGGCTTCGGGAGGTAAAATGTGCAAGTGCTTGCAGTCAGCCACACATACGATTGATCCAAGTCGATCTCACAGACTTCATTAACATAAGGATTCAAATATGGAAAAACAATTTTGTGCTGCTAGAGGTTGTCTGTGTCTGTCACAATAATCAATATTGTCAAATGGTGCTCCAAATTAAGTGGATTCAAACTAAATAGTAGAAATTGGTTTTCATCTATACAAAAAACGTTGACCGAGACATGAATGCATGGGTTTACGGATTACAAAATTAGGAAGATTCTTTCTTGTAAAACTTTTTTACACCTTCGCTAACACCTGTTGGTATAAAGTACACAAACTAAAGAATGCTATTCTTAAGTTCCGTTAAAATGTCTCCCAATTATGACACCCACATAATAGTCTTAATTGAATAATTAACACTAAATATTATTTAATTCAGTTGGTGCCAATTCATACAGAATTTAAATTAGTAAATTACTCATTTACAAACTATTAAGAAAACAAACGCGAAACATACCCTTACTTTCTCATCAAGCTTAAAGAGAATTAGTACAGTACCCCTTCAACCTGTGTGCTTCATAGATTATCACATTGTGTGACTATCACTATCACAGCCTTCAAATAATTCATTTTTTTGATTCAACAGACACCCTTTACCAATCTGAAGTCCTTTCTCTTACTTTCCCTTCTGATTAAGTCTGCATTTAGCCACTGCCCCTTATCTATGGGTTATGGTATCTCATTTTGTTGGGTAAAATGTAAACATGAGTTCTCATGATGTGCCATCAGATGGCAAAGGAAATGTTCATATTTATTTCTTCTAGACCTTTATAAAGTTTGCTCAATACAAAAAGTGTAAAAGCAGCTCTGGCAGGTCACACATTGCAAAAGCAGCTCAAGCCCAGTTTTATTAAAGTGTCATTCTTCAAAACACTTCAGGAATAACTCCTTACAAAATTATTTATTTTGCTAATTTTTTTCTGAATTCAAATTTGGTAAAATCTCCAACTGCTATGCAACATGATGAACACTATACTTTATCGCTGACAAACTAGTGAACTGCTTGAAAATCCATAATGTAAAAATATACTGTAGGAACCTACCTAAATATAACTCGCTTCTACCCAGAAATCTAAAGATTCATGCCCTCAACACTCAGTTCCAGCTGGGCTATGGTATGCATATCACTATGGTATCACTTTTGTGCAGGCACTGAAGAATCGCAGATTTAAAGCTGACAGGTGGCAGTCAGGACTCAGCCATGCAACGGCCAAAATCAAGTGTTATCCTGTCTCCCAGTAAGCATTTTATATAAGAGTTCCTGAAGAATACTACTTACCCTTCTTAGAAAAGAAGGAAATGTAGACTGCCTAGTACTGAAAATCTTACTGCCTGAAACATTTAACAGCACCCTAAAGCTTAAAATGTTTTTTTAATGCTTTTGATACAGTATGCTGAATATCAGCAGATTACATTTCATAACCCATGATTCAGACAGCCGCTAAACCTCTGATTTTACTTTAATATAATATGGATGTTATGAACATCAAGTCTGCTTCAATAAAATAGTTGCTCAGAGAGAGGCAATACCTTCATTCCCAGACACTGGGAATGCTTTTGAAGTGCACTAACTATTGGAAGCAGTTGTCAATATAATGCTAAGGCAACACAAAGCTTTAACCCTGCAAGCTGTAAAGCACCAAAGAGTAAAGCACCAATAGTTTTTATTAATAAAGCACAGCCACAAAAATGCTAAAAAAAGAGGTAGACACATACCTTCAACTGGTTCCCTTAACATTTCACACATTATCTTAAACCTCTAAATAGAATGATTATAATACAGGTATACTGAATAATACATAGAAATTCTGAACAATTTCTTAACTGTAGTTTAAATATTCAAAGAAATGTTAAAAGATTAACATTTCTTAATATTAAAGGAAGAGACTTTTTGTTGCTAAGATTATTATGAACTGGTCAGGTCATTTGTCATCTCACACAAACACCTTCTTTCGAGTTGCATCATTCAAGGAAAGGGTGTGTTTCTTGAAAACACTGTTTGCAATAGTGAATGAATATTAAAGGTGCAACCTTTCTTTTAGCTATACCACAGGAATGTCTGCTATAAATCACAAAAATGTAGTTATTATAGATTATATAATTGTATTATATTGTCATTTTCCCCGAATTCAAATAAGATATTTAAGCAGGGAAGGTGCAGTTTCTCCTTTCTTATGCAAACCTTATTATACTGACAGCGGCTTCTACAATAAATTCAGAAGTGTTTTAAACTTTATAAGATGAAGAGAAGGAGGTTTGCAGTTTGTTTTTAAAATTAGTCTATAGAAGAATTCTTTATATTCTGATTCTTTTGGCAACTGGATAAAAGTGTAGTTGCTGAGAATGTTGTGTTTTTGTGTACAAGCGTGTATGTGTAACACTACACAAAGAGCAAGGCCTGTAAGCTGTTCTATGCTGGGCGAATGTTTTGTTTTCATATGAGACGACGTCTGGAATAGTACCTGTCCCCAAAAGGAAAAAAAGAAGTAATACAGTCAAAAAGAAACCAGCAAATGATTTTAAAGCACAGAAATGCGGGATAATCAAGCCATGCAGGAGGAGGTTAGAACTGAACAAGGCCATGAGATGTTGTACAGTACTTACTATGGCAACAGGTACTCTTTTGCATATCCATCTCCTGTTTGTAATGCAGGCACAGGAAGAAAAAAAAGCACAAGTAGAAACATGTCTATGCAGTCATCACAGCCATCGTGTTAAAAAGAAATACATAAAAAGAATGGAGAAATACCATTCTTACAAGATCTCAGAAATGAAATGGAGAAGTGAATGGGGAAAGTAGAACAAGACAAGTGATGTAACTTATAACACACTTGCTTAGATTACACCTTCTTGAAACTTATCTAATACAGCAATTTAAAGTTTCCTTCTTTAGAGAAACTGTCTTTGTCCAGGACAGTGGGGCTTGCCATGGCTGATGGCATTGCAATACAACAATATTTTGAGGGGCTGGCAGAAAACCTTGGAACAGGGCAAAGACGGTTTGTTCTGTGCATTATGCCAGCGTGCTAATCCTTTTCCCTGAGAAGAAAGCACATTTCTGTGGTCATTCTAGGCTATTGTACATATACAGTACTGTGTACTATTCAGAAAAGGTATTTAGCTCCAATATCCCATAGTATAAGGTGTAATCCAAACACAATATAGACAAAGAGGTGTGAAACCCTGAAGTGCAAAAACAGTTAAAAGGAAACATTATATGTCACAAATTATATTTTATTTTGAATAGTCCTATCAACTGTAGTGAATATATATACTGTATATACTGAGCATCAAAAGATACCTCACTTGCAACTACAATAAAAATCATAATGCTACCCTCACAAAAATGGACTTTTTTGTAGCAGATGCAGAGATATTTTAACAAACAGGACACAGGAAGATTCATTAATTCGATTATCTCATTATTCATTATGCTGAAGATCTTTTGTCATGAACAGAGATCATCAACAAGCCGTCTACTGTTAAAGTCATAGGCTATCAGCATGTCTTACCACCACAGGAAGCAATACAATCTGTGTATCTATGACATGAAGATGCTGTCTTGTGGGATTCTTTCCTATTTTCTTTGTAGAGTCTAGAAAGTAGGGCATCTAAAGCATCACTAACATTCTAGTCACGCAAGAAAGCCAAGGACACTTAATCAGCTTCAGGATGTGAGTTGTCGTCCTGGAATGTTGACCAATGCAGTCAGATTCCCATCAAACACTACAAGTGGAAATCTGCCATGACCAGACTCTCTTGCCCACACCCGCACACATGGGCTCTCAAACTGATTCTGTTTCCACATTTGTTGTGCTATTCTCTCTGAAATGATCCATCAAGGTGGTGTACACAAACTTGATTAGTCCCTAAAGAGGACTTGGCACCAGGGCTGCATTCCTGCAATGCACTAATGTTACAACTGTGAAAGGTTTACATTCTCATCTTGATTAGCGGGACATGTTGGTTCCTTCCTACACTTTTTTTTATTTTTATCACAATCAAACACACCTCATTACTTGTGTCCATTCACCTGTCTCACTACTAAGGTGATTTAAATACTTGTGCAACAGCCAAAGTTGCATGGGCGCATGAAGATCTCTTATGAATTATTGATCAAAAGAATTCCAAAAACATTTAAAATAATATGCAAAATCGACATACTTTTTCTAAAATCAAACATATACAGTGTCTAATGATTCTTTGGATGCTCAGTATATATATATAAAGTACCCTTCACACGTATTTATACCCTCAATGAATTAGGAACATCATATCACAGAATCAGTTACACATTGGATAATGTGTCTTGCTTAAAAAATTCTTTAAAAATGCTATTCTGAAATCATAATAGCATTAAACATTTCAGCTTTGAAATATTAGGAACAGGGCTCTGTTATGTTCTGGGGTTGTTTTACACCTATAGGTCCTGAACCCCTTGATTAGATAGAATGAATCATGAATTTACTACTGAGAAGCAGAAAAAGGATATTACAACATAGGAAAATAATCCAAAGCATATATCCAATTCAACACAGCAATGCTTAAACGCACACAAACTAAAAGTTCTAGACTGGCCACCTCCATCTCCAGTTCTCACATTTGTAGTTTAAAATCTAAAAGCTACTGTAGTTCACAAACAGAAACCAAAGAACCTGGTTTCTAAGTCTGAAGGACCTAGAGCAATGCTAGTTGGAGGTACGGTCAAACATGTCTCCTCACAAGCACCAGAACCTTTTTTTTACACCACAGGAATTGTGTTGTCAGTGTAATCTATCCCAGAAGAGGATTTGTATACAAACTACAGGGGCATTAATAAATGTGACCCATGTATGTTTTGAACACAAGTTAATTATGAGAAATCTGACAATTTGTTTTCAGCAGCACACATTATCCAATCTGTAAGGCTTTCTGTTATGCAATGTTGTATTTATTCCCATTTCATCTGGGGTATGAATAAATCTGTAGGTATAAAAGTAAAACAGATTAAGGTTTGGGTAGTGAAATGAAAATTAAGAAATGTACAAAAACCCAAACTCCCTTAAGTGTCTTTTTTTTAATTGAATACTTGGAGCTTGTTCAGCCTCGTTCCATTCAACAATGTCAAAGCTGTCATTGTCAATTGCACTGGATCTCTACAAGCTAACGCATTGAGAAATGCCCAAAGAGACTCAATTGAGTTGGTGGCAGTTTCAATTTAATGCTACTGCCTCTCAAAACATAGGAATCTTAATTTAATAAATATACAATATTTATTTTATTTTAAAGATGAATCCTGACAAAAAATAATTAAGCAGCAGTACAAAAACACCTCTTCATCTATTATTGTATTATAATCAACAAGCACTTTAAATTCAACAGAAATATACACTGCATTCCTGTTATATTCCATTAATCAAACTCCACGGTGGACCGATCAAAGTGGAGGCAACGTACCTTCCTCTGCCCTGATAGGAGTGCTTGGAGGAGTGCGGGTTGGGGTGCAAACAGCAGGGCTCTGATCTTTCACTTCCTCCACAGCCTCCTGCTGTGACTGGTCTAAGACACACAATCGAGAAGCTCATCACAAAACAAAGCAAAACCGTTTTGTCCGGCGTTCACGTTGTGGTGAGATGATGCACACATCCGGTCCTTAAGTGCTATAATCTTCCAGATTTCCTGGATAGCTTCAAAGAATTGATGTACAGTTGCAAGGAAAACTTTGTGAACCCTCTGGAATTACCTGGATTTCTGCATTAATTACTCATAAAAATGTGGTCTGATCTTCAACTAAGTTACAAAAATAGTCAAACAATCTGCTTAAACTAATAACACACAAACAATTGTACTTCTTCTTGTCAATATTGAACACATCTTTTAAGCAGTCACAGTCCAGGATGGAAAAAGTATGTGAACGCTTGTATTTAGTAACTGGTAGAACCTCCTTTAGCAGCAATAACCTCCACCAAATGTTTCCAGTAGCTGATGATGAGACCTGCACAATTAATTCTTGCAACTGTATTTATATCAGTAAAAATATGAACTGTTTAAGATCAACAGAAAGTGAAGTTCTATTTAGTTGCTAAAAGTTGAAAATAAGATTCAGTGCACCTCCGAAACTGGAGTTGTGCATCACTTGTGTGACAAATTCCATTAATACTGTATATCAGTGCTCAGGGTTCCCACAATTCCTCACAGTTAATTTTCAGTGATTTATTCAGGATGTCTGTGGTGACCTTGCCTTCACCTTCTATAATAATCTAATCCTCAACACTCTCTTTATTATACTTCAATTTCAAATGCTGACTGAGGGAAGAACTGACAGCCATTACCAGAAGCCTCAGAGTATGGCAGCCAAATCTCCACTTTATTTTGTCTAGCCGATTTTGCATACAGCTGAGTTCAACCATTTTTCCTAGCTGAAATTAAATATGGCTGCCTCCTTCATCCACTACAGTTAATAAACGGAAGCCGCTATACTTAGAAGGTCAAACAACAGAGACACACAAGTTGCACTAATTAAGCACATCTCAAAAGAAGCAGAAACTCTGCTTAAACCTTCTGGTGTTTTTTTATTTGTTTTTTAGGATGTGTGGGAACCCCAAACAGAACTCAGTCATTGGTTTACAAAAACAATAATCTCTGGGCTTTTTATTCATCCAAACAAATATGAAAGCAAGCCTGAAACATCACATAGGTCCAGGTAAACACCGATTAGAGGACTCTGACACCAAAGAGAATCAAGCTAGATGCACATGCTACACTCTTTACCACCACCCAATAAAGCTAGTTATGGGTTATCTGGAAAATGAGAAATTAATAAAAAGACAATATTAGTATAGCTCCACAAGCCCCACAAGACCATGATCGGTATTATTAGAGGGATTGTCCAGACAGTATAATTTTGTATTATTTTCTTTTTATTATTTGCTCTGATCGTACCATCACCTTTAAAAATCACCGTTAAGATTTCCCAGATGAATCAATCACCAAGAGGACCCAGGGTGGAATCAAAAGCCAGGCCAGGGTCAGATTATTTTAGAAGACGCAAGTGAGGGGAGGGGAAAACAGCCGGGCATTTCATCTGAGAAATCCCCGAATGCAAGACAGAGGGGGCTCAGAAGTACCTGAAGCCTCATTCAAAAGGTCAGTGTTCGAGCTGAGGGCTCTGAGGACCGCAAAGTGAAATTCCCTGTGCGGTGATTCCACCGAGTCCATTTCCTCTACTGCAGGTGTCTTGGCAGCCCCAGGGCCTAGCGCCAACCCCTCCAGCCCAGGATCCTGGCTCAGGCTTGGTGGGTGAAAGACGGGAAACTCTTCTCTCTTTTCAATATCAAGAGGCACCTCAGACCCGACTGGGAGGTTTGAGGAGGGCAGTTCTTGCTGGCTAGTGCATTCTGTAGCTTGGGCCTCTTCCCCCTGTACTGAATGCAATGTAACAGTTTCTATCTGCTTCTTGCCCTGCGCGAGGAGAAAACATGAGACGGGACTGCTGGACATCCAGTATATATCACACATGAAGAGGCATATTCTTGCATCACCCCATTACACCACAGGAGCAGGGGTGCAGATGGACCACCTTCCATAATATTATCAAAAACCTTCACCTCCCATTATAAGGCAATGACTTGAATAGTTTCCAGTGTGAAAGATAAAATGGGTGAACTTTATCCATAGTTCAACAGCTACATTAAAATCATTTCAGTGTCAGTACCTGTTATGATTAAAGAATTCATTTGAATGAACTTTTTTTTTTTTTGAGTGTCATTATTTCTGAAAAGCAGATTTTCACTAAAAATTGTTTCAAATACATGGAAAATTCCATTTTTTTTTCTGTTTCATAAAATCTCTTCTTACCGGGATTAATGTTTCTCCCATTACTTCCAGGAATAAGGCATTTTGATGGAAAAGTAATATGAGAGATTAAGCTAATATAGCTTGTGTGAAATAAACGGTCAACAAATGAAAACTTATTTGAAAACACAAAAAGGCATTATTTTCTTTCTACCTTGCTGGGTGAAACAGTATGTTTAAAAAGCCATGGAAATTCATATTTTTAGATAAACAGTTCCAAGACAAAGCCATGCTATAGCAGCTGTTCCAACTGGATTCACTGGCTGTGGGGATTATTTCCACTTCTGCCTTTTTATTCCTGGGTTCCTTTTTTGCCATATATGATTTTGTTTTCAGCCTGCATCCAATACATAACCTTGGCATTAATCAACTTCTCTAAGGCATACACTGACACTTCTGCAAACAATACTACCCTTTCTGTTTCGTTTCCACTGCATCACTCCCATGATGCTAGCAAAGGTTAATGACAAGAATGAGGCCTCATGGGACACCTTACCTTCAGGGCCTTTCTGTTTGCGCTCCACCTCCTTGCGGTACTCTTCCAACTCCTGGTCAGTCAGCTTGTTGAATGGGTTTGGTCCAGTGGTGCTCATTATCACTCGTGGCTGGTACTCCTTCTCAATGATGGCTTTAGAGGCCGTCACCAGTTCTCCCTGAAACAAAAATACAGAATACATCCTGACGACAGGCCTCTACATTTTTATTTTCACTTTATTATGTCCTTTTAAATTGAATACCTTGTCTCTATTTGACACTAAAACTGAATCCAAACTTTAAATTAGTCTGGACTAGTCATACCTGTTGTGGAATTATTCCTATAAAGCGAATTAAAAAAAATCACTTAATATACTGTGAATGAAGAGTACACGCACATTTGCAGTTGAACATGTCAAGTCGATTCTTCTAGATTGGTGTAGGTTGGTTTCTCTGTTAACAGATATTTCAATATTTTCATAACACTGAGCATTTTCGTACTCCTGAAACTTGTACTCAAAAACACACGAGGAGACTCTAAGTCACTGTTTTCTTGTTGCTAAAAATATCTCATTACTAACATTTATTATTAATCGTAGTGCAGTGAAGTTTTTAAGAATGTCTAAAAGAGAGCTTTTTCGCATTTTCATAAATTGGAAAAGTACTGGGAAGCATTCTGAAAAACCATAAAGAGACTTTCCTACCCCACCTCATCCAAGATACCTCTGATCTCAGGTAAGAATGAGATCACACACTCCACAGTCATCAAAGTTCTATGTTAGGTTCTATAAATGTTTTAAATCTAACATCTGGCTGTTTTTTATAACATGTGATGTTCCCAAAACACCTTCGGTCAAACTCCCTAAACCCTTGAGCCCTGACAGTGTACATGAAACTTTTTTTTTTACACTGCAGTCAAGTATTCTGATGAGTGCTGATATTAAAGTTTTTAAATACTCAAGTCTAAGGATCTATTTAGCCCATTGGAAAGAAAAGGTATGTTTGAAAACTACAAAAAATGAATAATAAATATAAAAAATTAAAAGAAATGTAATCCCCATTTAGTATTTTATGTTAACGATTGCAGCATATAAAACAATACTGCATATGAGTATCACATTGTTGTTAATTTTTATAACAGGTCTTCAATTCCGGTTTAACACTTGTTGTACCTCTCAGCATCCAAACTGCATCACCACAAATAATTTTTTTTAAAAGGTCAAAAACTTTCTGGCAGCAGTTCCAATTTTCAAAATCCACAGCCCAGCAATTAAACAACATCCACTTCAATGTTTTTTTTTTATTCTTTTAAGGCCAAGAACTACCTGTGGCCACCTGTTTCCAAAGGTTTTTTGATGGCTCTAACCCTGTGAATATTATTTATTTTTTATTTTTGAGGAGGGAATTGGCCTTGTTTGTGTGAATGAATTCGTTGAATTCTCTTTAATCAGCCTCCATATTGTTTAATTTGCCTTTGAATGTCCCTGCAAAGCTAAATAACAGCAAAGTGTTATTTTACAGAATATACAATTGAATAAAATAATTTTACAAAGCACAAACGTAAAAATAAATCAGAATCAGTAACTGGAACCTGTTAAGAAAAAGATGCTCCACTTTCACAGTTTTTCTTATTAATGGTTATAAGGTTTAGTTATATTGAGTTTTGCCGAGATACAAAGAGAACAAAGTCCACAAGACTGTGTTAGGAGGAGCAGCTCAAGAAGAGATTTAGTTAAACTAAGCAGGATTTTTCCAAACATGGAATGGACTTCTTCAAAATAGGATAATTAGACTGGCCTCTGATGGCATCTCTCATTTAATGTCTCTCATATAAGTTCTCCTTTTTGGTCTATCACTGAGTCTCTTCAAGATACTTTTACAATCAGAACCCCCAAAAAGTTGCTGCAGTTAAAAATTTGTTATAGAGATGAATGATGTATAACTATGTTAAATTAAGATATTACACTAAACAATTTAAGGAAAATCTCATTGCAAGCCACTTTGTCTACATGCGTTCTACAAAGCCAAGTCAATCTTCACACAAAACAGGCTATGAGCAGATGATTTCTTTGACAGACATGCAGCAGTCTCACAGGACACGTGCTACTTCACTTCATAATTAAATATTATTTAATCAAATTCAATGCACAATAGATTAGTTGTTTACAATGGCTTACATAATCTTCACATATTATTATTCATATGTTTTATTAAAGCTTCTATCTAAAGCAACTTAAATTGATACAGAGGGACATTTTGTTGGTGCCATCTGAATGAAGCACCTTGCTCAGCAGCTGTCCCTCATCCAGGATCTGGACCCACAACCTCCCTGTTGCAGGCCCCAAGCCCTAGCCTCTACTCCACACTGCTGCATTATTCACTTGTTTAAAAAACAGACTACTGTACCATATGGCAGTGGTTAATACTCTGAACATTGTACTACTTCAAATCCAGTTTCCTGGAAGTCTGACATATGATTCCTGTGTATTAAATGTACTGTATTACATGTGATTTAGTTATGTATTTAGTATGATTAAGGTAAGATTTCATCATAACCAGAAATCTCAGATGTGAAGAGGCCATTTGGGCTATTGTGCTCATTTCAATCTACTGCTCCCTAGTCCTATAGCCAGTGTTGAATTTCTATTGATTCCCCACCCCCAAACTCTTTATTTGGACAATTTAGACCTGACAAACCTAAGTTGCTTGTCTGGGAGGTGATGAGAAACTGAAGTACCTTGAGAAAACTAAAGCACCATGGGTAGAGCATGTGAACACCACATGGACACCTACTCTATTCTGGAATTGAACCCAGGACTCAAGTCTTGTGAAGCAATGCTCAACATCTTCCAACCTCATGTATAATGTAATTTAACAACCAAATAAAATACCAAGTATTTGGCAAATTCTCTTTATTTGTCTTCCTTTAACGATGTAACAAGAAGTCAAAGATATTAGCAAACTAGTGTTGGCTTCTTTGTAGCAACAATGAAAGAAGAATCTGCTACGGTCTATTCTAATCAACTGAAATATTTTTTTAATGAGTATTTTGTCCTATTTAGCTCTTTGTTCTTCTCTACCTTTGCAATCATTGTGGTAAACACACCAAATGGGCGTGTTTTTATTTTTTTCAAAGCTTTTTAATTCCAACACCACAATGTACCAAAAGTCAAATTTTCCCCCCAAAAGGAATGTCTGAGGAGAACTTTAACATAAGTCATAATTTATCACCGAAATCTAAGCTTACTTGTTTTCTGATCTGTTGCCACCTACTTTGGAATAAGATTAATTATCAAACATATTTCAAGGGAAACATCTTTTGGGACAAATTAATGAAAAATTATACTGTGCATTACAGTGTTCAGGAATTTGAATTTGTTATTCAAATGGAATAACAAATAATTCTAATCTAATTTAAGACAAATATTATTTAAGTATGTTTAATGAAGACTCCTTAATTTCAACAGTTGAATTATAATACCCAAACCCCTTAATTTCTATCTTCAGTAGGGCAATGGAGAACAATACAGGGTTAAGGACTAAAACAGAGACCAGGTCAGAAAGAGGAAAACAGTGAAGGGTTAAGGTTTAGTGACAAGGCAGTAAGTACCTTTCTAATAGACTTAGCAGGGCTATTTGCCTGCTCTGTGTGATCGAGCCCGTCAATAGTTTCCGTACAGTCAGAGAGGGGAGCATCCTGCAACAGTAAACTGAGTGAACAGTGCACAACCAAGCCCTGACTTTTACACCCATAAACCAAGAAATGGAACACTCCACACAACACATGCAGAGAACATTCCCAACAGTGATGCACAGAGACATGAGGATGAGTGATTAGTCTGAAGTCATGCACTTAAAAGAAAGGAGCAGGCAAATGTAAACTAATGTTGTACGTCACCATGTGTCTGCTGTTTGAGGAACTGTTAACTTCACAACTTATAAATTGCAGTGCCTTTGCTTTCAAGTGATTTCTCAGCATTATTAGTTATCTTAAGTCTATCTCTGGGAATGGAGAGTTGCTACTTTCCATCTTGTTGGCTGTGGTTTGGAGACAAGCTTCTCTAGTAAATTTTAGTGAAATTAAACATACACCCCTGATGCACTGAATAGAAATCCTTCTTATACAGTATACCCAATTTGAAATCACCTGTTTTGTCTTTGCATTAACTTCCCTTTGCCCACATGGGGAGAACGAGAAAGCACAGATAGCCTTCTCTGATACACACAACCATCTAGCCATGTGGCTTCTGACACTACAAGCTGTGCAGCACCATACAAGACCACTGACTGGAGGAGGAAAGTGCACCTAACGGACGTCACCAGGGGAGACAGGAGATAGGAAAACCCAGGCTATCTAACCCTCAGTTCGCCCCTGGGAGTCTTGAGCAAGCTGGGCACCACTGCTTGGACAGAAACTAACATCTTGACAGTGCCAGAATGGATTTTTTAAAACTAATTTACAAACATGAGACAAAATAAAGATCAGAAAATTAAACAGTAGCAGAATTGCATGGTGATGTATAACGCATATTTCATAGTCCCTCTATTTTTTGTTTAAACAGAGACAGTACCTAGTCGTACTTCACAGACTGTGAACCATGATGACTAATTTTCACATGCACTCAGTTACAGATGCCAACATCAACTGTTTGGTTCTCTAGCTTTACTAGTGATATAGTGTTCATGCTATTTTCACAGCAGTAAAAGAGGATTATTTTTCAACCTCACTTATTAGTAAATAGTTCAGGGATTTCTGAGATTGTCTGATAATGTAAATACTGCCTCTCTGATTGCCAATGGCATTGCCATTTTGGAAAACGTTTTTTTCGGTAGGAGGTGAATAACTTGCAGTGAAAGGGATGGGGCACTTAATGCATTATGCTACTGTACTGAACTGGAGCACCAGAAAACCAAACATGGCAACTGCCCAACACTGACTGCTACTAATGTAATGAGTCAAATAACTTTTTATCACTCACATCTGTCGAAATACCCCAAATGTTTTTTTTTTAATAATCTATATTATTAGTGGTGAAAAACCAAAGTCTGCAGCTTTCATAAAGAATTTAAAACCCTCAGTGACTAAAAACTCACTCATGAAAACTAACAGAACAGCAACAAAAACCATAAAGTTGCTGAGAGATAGGATGGTATGAATATCCCCCCTGTGAAACTTGCAGCACCCTAGGCCAGAGGTCTCATTCCATCATACGAGCGGTCCCTACTCCCTTCCACTCCTCTCAAGTTAGGGTTAGATGGGTGTTCTCTGGAAAGCTTCATAACATGACAGTCCAACATCATCTTAATCAGGAATGGCACAACTGTTGCTCATTTTACTACATTCTAGTGTCCTGGTTAGTAAAAAATCTTCAGAATCGCTTATGACGAAAGTCACTGTTTGGGTGAAACAAACTAACCAGTCTTTCACCCTGACTGCCTTTCTATTTAGTTTTTGTAGTGGTGTGATTATTTAGGCCATTCAAGACAAGTGAGCTGGATTCCAAGTGGGGTTATACAGCTGCAAACCATGTGCAAGAGGTCTGGATTTCTATTTCATTGTCCTGGTGTGATAGCTTTTGTAAAACAGCTTCAAGGACAGATCTGACAAACCACAAATGTTGTAAAGACATGTTATTTTACTCTGAGCTTTATGCAATGCTTGAAGAAAACTATTTTAGTAAAACTACCTACTTGTAACTAATTTGTTTCATTATTCTGTAGCATATGACAATGTCTAATCATAAAATAAATGTGAACATAAAAAAGAAAAGTTAAAAAACTCCCCAAATATAATTAAAATAATTACTTTCTAAAAGCAAAAAATAAAATAAGGCTTCACAATGGTCTTATAATTGGACATGTAAATCAATGTTCAAGAATTTTGTAAAGTACGACCTGCAATGGAGTTTGAGGAAAAAAGTTGATTTTGGTTCTGTCTTTTTAATCTAGGTTATGGGCAGTTTAAAGTCTACTTTAAGCTGTATTACATGCTACGTGGAAAAAAATAGATAATTATGTAAATATCAGAGCTTCTCTCAATGCACAATTAAACTTCTTTGCATATATTTAGGTTATTCTGCCATTTCTAAATTGCAGAATAAAACAACATGCCTTTATTTATATGGGTAAGGGAAACTGTTCTGAGAACAAAACACTCCTCAACACAGGACAATATGGCAACAGAAGTGCCATAGTAACTTCAGAAGCCAACACATGGATAAAACAAGGCCAGAATCCTAAAGCCACTCACTCAAAAGCACCAATCATCAGAACACATTTTAAGAAGTTAGACTTCTAAGTAGTAAATGAAATTTAACAAAACAATGGGGGACACAAAAGCTGAATGTCACACATGCAGATTCAATGCTCACATTGACCAAGAGCAATGTGTTCGTTTGACATGCTGTAGCTGCTCATTTAAAGCTCAGCTTATAAAAAAAAGCTCACTAAACCAACAAAAAGAGGGACACAATCTGTCTCTTGTTGCAGAGGTAGTGGCACAGCATGTGGTTACCTCTAACACTTACCTGCCAGATTGTAACTCTCTGCAGTCAAAGAATAATTTTACAATTACTATTGGGCTGTAGTTACGGAAAACCAAATGTCAAAAGGCATAAAAAATGCTGGTTTTACGGCCTGACAAGAGGCTCACCTGGACGTAGCTGCGATCAACAACGGCTCCAGTCAAAACCTGGGACTGAGGTCCTGCGGTTTTGATGTCTTGCAAATTCTGTTCACGGATCTAAATGAAAATTCAGATTAAATAAACTTTAGAAAGTCAAGAAGCGTTTTCACACCTAATTCAGTCCACAAAAACTAATTAAACTGCTCAACAATGATCAGAGGCTGTGAAAGGACTGTAGAAATGTCAGTACTCTTGTAACATTTTTCTACTCCTCATTACCTACCAAGTGAACTGTGACAATAAGTAGAAAGGTGTGCTTGTGAGTTTAAGCGTGCAAGGGTGATGCAATCATGTGTAGAAGGCACACGGGTTCTTTAATCATACTGGAATAACACTGTGGCTTAGGGAAAGAAAGCTCATTGTAAGCTCGCTGCATGGCATTGCGTCAACAGCGATTTGAGACCAGACCTGCGGCATAACTATTATTAAAGCAACAAAAGTTCAGATGTCATCTCATTTCCACACAGCAAGACTTTCAAGGCTATGTGGATCAAGATGAGATCAATGTTATCAACTGGACTACTTTAGAGTCTGACCTTAATCCAGATGAGTAACCTGAGGAATGGGGTGTGGTGGAGGTGTACAGGGACATCAGCCACTACCAAGCAGCACTGCTTAGATTGCAACATCATTTCAGGTGACACTCTGGAACATCCGTGTGGGATGATTTCTACAAATTTACTCCATGACACTTGCATGCATTTCAGCTGATGAGGGAGCACCTGACCTGACTGCGTCCCACTGCCCACAACAACACGTAACTCTTTTTGGAAACTTGTTTGCAAGTGATAATCTTAGAGGTAATATTTAAAGTGTAAACCTTCCACGTGTCTTTCAATGATTATCTGTGATCTTGGGTTCTGTTGGAGTTTCTTAAGAGGTATTTAAAAATGCACCTCGCTAGGTTTCACATACTTTCAGGATCAACACTGACTTGTGGCCTAACACAAAGATACCAGGCCAATCAAGTCCCTGATGCATTTATTATTCATGTGTCATGGACAAACAAGACCCTGTTACATTTCATGTCTTACAGTTGTAGTCTGTCACTCGACTAAAGTTTTGCTCCACTGGAGTAATACTATACTTGTCTAGAACCATCAGGTTACATCAAACAGATATGGCAAGATGCTGCAGGAACAAGATCACACAGAAGTACAAATCTTGTTTTTATTCCAAATTTGAGATAACCGAAAAACCAGATCTTAAGTTTTTAGCTCGGGCAGCCAGAAATGTATACAAGACTCCTGTTGCAAAGCATTTTCAGAACCTTCAGGTTTAACAATTACATGCTTATGTACATTAGTTTGCAGTAATTGGTTAATGATTTGGAATTAATCAAGGAGAAAGACAGCAAGCTAAATTTTCTCTCTATACATGTATACTGTATATGGCTTTCTGCCCTGTACAATTTCTTCAACTACTATAGCTAATATATTCTGAAATGGATTAAACCAGCATTGAACAGGAGTTTATTTCCCTGAAGATTACTGATACTCAGACCTTCCACAGCTCTGAATTGAGGAGGAGGCTCCCAACATTTGGCACCTTACAGGCAACATAATTTAGAGTCTATTATTTTGTAGTCTTAGCAAAATGTATTTATAGATATAATGGCCATGATTGACAATCAATGTGCCCCTTTTGGGCTCATCAAATTTCAAAATACAGTACACTGTATGTACTGCACTTGCCAACAAGGCACCTTTCATTGGAGACCTCCAACTCCTTCACCTTTCTACAGTTTGATTTAAAGTGGTATCTTCTCCGGCAAATAGGACAGGGTGCACGCTGTAAGACCGACTAGAGATGCTCAGAAGCTCAGCAGGGGAAGCACTGCGCTTTTCCAAGGCTGCCGAAAGACAGCGTGTTTTTTTTTCTCGGTGACAATACCAGACCTTGTTTCTCATCTCCTGGACCTCTTTGGGGTTAGTGTTCAGTGGGACAAACTGATTGGCAGCAACCGCCTGTCGGAGTCCTTCTTCTTTAGTCCACTGTAATACCATGACAGAGATTAAAATTCATTGCAAAATAAACACACTGGAACAAAACAAGGCACACAAGCTATACTCCACAATATGTCATGCATCTTGAAAAGACTATGTACAAGAAGAGCAGCAAACCAATGATGATGCAATTTAAAGCTAAAAGGACCTGGACATTAAATCTTTTTAATTTACTTATACATTTTATGAAGTGCAGTAGTGTTAAAAACAAACCAAAATGCTGAACTCTACACTGGTATGTTTTGTCAATCTTAATTGTGGTTGCTTATTCCTGGTTCAGCTGGTACATCAACATTAGGTCCTCAAACATTTAAATTCTTTGGTGGTGCTATACTTTATTTTTACAAGAATCAAAACTAAACCCTTATCATCACCTTTTTCAACAAGTGAATGATAGAACAGAGCAGAAAGCTGAGCACTGTTCAAACTGCTTTACACCACGCTTATGCAATTTAAATAACGCAGATATGTAAGTGATCTGCAAAGTTGCTTTGCTGTTAATTCTGATACACCTTTAGTTAATCTCAACTCCAGAAATACCAAAAGGGGAAAATTGATTTTTTTTTCAGACACGTCAATGAAAACTCATGATTCGTTCTACTACAATCACCTACTACAATAATTTTTTTCACAAAAGGAAAGACAGAAATGTTCCAGTTCTACTTTGGTGATAACAATAGTTACACCTTTCTTTCGTAATACCACTGCAGTAGTAACACGTTCCAGTGAAAAGGGGATTTGGCATTTGACACTATTATGGTCTTCAATTTCATAGCCTAGTGACAGCCCCACCCTTGTCTCTATCCCTTCAAAAAAAGGCTATCCAGTTAGTTTTCTTACCTTTTTGAAGCGGTTTAATCTTTTTTTGTACCATCACCCTTGTGGTCAGATATGCTTTTGGAACTGTACATGAAAATACAAAAGTGTCTGCAGATACTTGCAGAGTCAGACTCTCATTACTAAAGATAAACTGACATGTACAGTATGTGCTAATTTAAGAAATATTTCTTAAGAAACATCATAAAGTCAATGATTAAAAAAAATGACTGCTCCACTCACTGATAAGCATCATACAGTTTGGGATTTTAATTGACCACTACCAACATTTTAGTCACTTACAGATAGTACAGCCTTATTTTTCAGCCTAACACAAGGTAAAACACTGCAGAGATTATTTTTATGTTCTTGCTATATGTACTATATCTCTTCATATAGAATAAATTAAGGTGGACACACTTGCAAAATATTAGGCAGCTTCGGACTTTTACCATTCATATTTAATAACCTACCTTGTACAAAAATCATTAATACTACTGCATGCATTTACCAGCACCATGAAGAAATTGAATAAAAAAAATATTTTTCCAAAATTGCACTAGTAACAGGATTATTATCTGATCGGTTATCTAATCTAAGAGTTAACTAAATTTAACTAATCTAATAATCTAGACTATTTTAAATAATCTTTGAGTCATTAAAATGTTGACAAAAACCATTGCTTATGAAATAAAATTATCAGCTTTTTAGAGGGAGAAAGCTGTATTAAGTAGCTTTTCTCACTGGGTGCTGGAAGAAAAACTATGTTGGTGAATTACTTTGAAAAATAGTTCAGATGTATTCTAAAGAGTTTGGTTTTCATTCACCATAATATGTAAAATACAGTTTATAATAGATTTATACATGGAACACATACAGGCAAATTCCATGCTTAATATGGAAAGGAGAAACAATATTTTGGCTGTAGAGCCTCCTTCTAGGTGTGAAAAGTTTATAAAATTCTCCTGACTTCACACTAGCTGATCTAAGTCAACCTTATAAGCTGCTCACAGTGAGTACCCTAACAGTTCATGTCTCATTCCACACAGTAAGTTCACAAGACGTTTTAGGGGCAGTGCTAAGATTTACCTATTTAATCACTAAAGTAGCAAAATAGGAACAGGACAGACAGCTGGCCCATTAGACTAGTCTTTATCATCATTGATAATCGCTCTAGAAAACATCAAACACAAAAGCCAACTGAAAGCATAAGATGAGGTGTCCATGGAAGGTGAGGCGATATCACTGGCTTTGAAGCTACATGAAAGAGCAATATAAAAGCAATGCATGAGCGGGCATCACCAAAGTTGCATGTCATTAGACTATTTTACAACACCAAAATAAACATTCATCTTGAAACCACTTTTTTTTTTTACGTGGGCTACTTGCCTAAAACATTTAGATGAAGGTATAAGATTTAATACTTTTTATAAAGTCTGGTACAAGAGATGGTACAAAATGGTTAGATCTATAATTATATTTAAAATGAAGATCAGTAGACTAAATTCTGCCTAACAGTTAATGTTAATATTCTTTAAACGTTTAGGCTTATTTCTGAACATTTTCTGTGGCTTAAGGCTCTTTGTTGCACACATTAAATGTAAATGTCTTCCAAATATTCCGATATAGAATCTGTCTTAAAATTATTATATTCGTGCGATGTTAAAATGTTTTGTTAATTTAGTCATTCTTTAACACTGGTAATGCTCAGCTCAGGTAAAATAAATTCCTTTAACATTTTTTGTCTTAATACAAGTGAGATGTCCTTATGAAGGCATGTCTGTAACAGTAAGTGCGATGTTTTAATGCAATCCTAAAAACTAAATATGAAACAATTTTCAAACAGCACATACTGTTAAAACAAGGCCTTTAAAATATTGCATACTGTATGCTATTAGTTCAGAGTTATTATACGATGTTTTAACACAGCAAGTTAATTGCAAAATTAAAAGTAAAAATTTAAAAATGTGGCGCTAAAAGGGAACATGGAATGTACATGTAGACATGAAATACTCACTGATTACCTCTTCTCTCACAACAAAACACTCCCACTTTTCCACTAGACTTGTTTTGGAGAGTCAAAAAATTTAAGAATTTAAAACAAATCGTTCATGCCTGGTAAAACTTTAAGAAATGCACATATTGTTGTTTAAAAGGAAACTTAAAACAGGAGCTAAATGACCTGAGAAAACACAGGCCAGAAGGTAGGAGGGACGGGCATTAAAATTATAAGCAGGCTGTGACTCTAAGAATTTAGCCTTCAAACAAAAGGCTCCAAATCTTGAGCTTTTCTTTCATCAGGTTCACGCCAGCTGACAACAGAAAGTAGTGGTCAGAGCAGCAGAAGTGAATGAAAGAATGGCTACAAGATGAAGGAATGACAAACTAGGGAAGACCAAACAATGTCTGAAAATAAACTGCATGCTACATTAGGGAAGGCTCCATAAAAGGCAAACAGTTCAATTAGCTGTCCTGTGTGGCTTAAAAGGTAAAGACCTAGCCAATGTTAAGAGGGATTTCTGGTCAGGGCAACATAGTCAGGAGAAAACCCAGCAACAGCAAAAGCTGTGAACCTGTTTGAAAGGTCTGTTATCTTCCTCTGGCATTATCGTTCTTTCAACCATTTTAACATTTATATTCACTTCTTCATATTGTCAGTGCATTCTCAAAAGTGGATAAAATCAATCTAACAGACTCTAAATGGTTACTTGTTAAATTTCAAAGTGCTGGATGATTTAAAAGCTGAGTGACACTCATCTTGATTTTGACTATAATGCACGCCAGCTAAAAATGCACTTTATATTACCTTCCTTTAGTTTTGTTTCTAAAAGTTGCAATGTTTACTTCCTCGTTTAGATTTTTCTTGTTGTACATCCAGTACAAATTTCCCTTAAGGATACCAAATTTGGTCACACTGATGGTTACATTAGATTTCAGACACAAACAGCCTGACATGTCTTTGCGACAGCACAGTTGTGGCTCCAAATAGGGGTATGCAGACAGAATGGAAATGGTTCCTAGTTTCCTACAAGCCATACTACTGTATACTGAAACTGAACTGGGTTTTCGTACCGACAGTCAGAAACACTCCCCAGAGTGCCATTCTAATTATATAACTTCATCTGTCAGAATAGATTTTTTGTTTTGTTTTTGTCATTTTAAACACACCTATCATTAATTAAAGAAAGCTCAGGGGAATTATTGGGATTATGAACAGCACAGGTAAAAAGAACAGTGCTGTTCTGGAGAGTCAATCACTAGGCATCTGCTGCAGGCCATGGCTAGTCTTCAGTTATGCCACACCCTGAGAGTTCTCCAGGAAAGCATTCACAATGTCATCTGCACGCATGCAACATTTCATGCAGCGGGCAGCTGGGAATGGGCACGTAAAGGCTTTAGGGATTTCAAAGACGTGTTCTGTTAAAAGGGTTAAAAAAGGAGAGAAAAAGATTATAAACTGCTTAAGGGACATAGTAGGATTAGTAAAAACACAGGTCAATGCAAAGGAAAGAACGCTCTTAAAATTAGTACCAAAGGAGTTTTTAATGAATCTGTCATTTCCCAAAGAGACATAGATTAAACCTGCATAATGCACACAAAAAGGAAAGCTGTAATTGATATGAAACAGCATCATTAGCAAGAAAAGCAGTCTTAAGCAGTTTTTGCTTTCTGTAAAGATTTGACAGACAAAAGTACTGATAGCAAGTAAGAGACGGAATAAGATAGAAGGCAGAGGGAAGCTACTGAATTCTTTTGGAAGCGACAGGCAAGATTTGCAGAAGATTGCTAGTTAACATCCCCAGAGCCTTCAAGAGCCAGCCAGCTGCCCAAAGTAGCTGTACGGTCTAACTATGAACAATAAGGTAGGCACAGACCAAGCAGTTGGTAATACAGCTTGGCACGCAGACACCGGACGAGAGAGACTGCAGCAAGGGTTTCACGTGATCGTGTGTAACGTTCGTCCACACCTTAGTCTTCGACTTGGGGCTACCGTCATTGGGGCCTTCTTCAGAGGTATCATCCCCCCGGCCCGAGTTCAGCCACCTTGTCTTCTCTCGCTGCTGCCTCTGAAAGCTGTGCTTGAGAGGGGAGCGAGCACCTGAGTCACTGTCCTCTGCAAAGGAGTAACCCATTGCAGAGGGAGGGATCTCTACATCACTGTATTTTTTTGTTTTGTCACGCAGAGAAGGGCACCGGTAAGGGTAGCCAGTTCTGTACCCCTGGAGAGAAAAAGACAGAAATTAGTTATAGAACGGCCTTAATACATGGCACAATTATTTTTGTGTCATGAACAAATATTTGAAAGTGTAAGACCTGTAAGAAAAACTGTTAAATACAGCTGTTAATCTTTCAGACATCATGACAGATCTTTGGGTAAACATTTTTGTAACACTCATGAATTCCTGGAATTTTGGATAGTTTGTTCAAAGAAGCAATAGAAATGAAGCCTAATCAATTTCAAACTTTAGCACTGGCATTTTGTCTTGGTTTGTGATTGCCCTCTCAGAATTTTCAGTTTATTCACGACTGACCCTTCTCCAAAGTCTGCAATTAACAATCTGATGGTGTATTTGAGAATACAGACGAATGTTCTGTCCAATTCATGTAATTTTCACCCTTTGTTTTTTTAACTTTTTTTAACTGATATATGAGAAGTCGACATTTTAAAATCACAGAAACATGAAGTATAACCCCCAAAAAGTCTTACCAGGTTATCCAACATTCTCATGAGTGCCTCAAACTCCTGTTCTCCAACCTGCCACTTAGGATGAGAGGCATTCGTGTCGGAGGCAGACTCAGAGAAGTGGGGCTTGGCTTTGTACTTCCCAGGGTCCAGCATTACCAGGTTATCGGGCCCTCCTGCGCTGGCCAGAGTGCGCACCTGTCAACAACATCAGCACTTACACTCAACCACTTTGTCTGGAAGGATCTTCTGCTCAGGGATGTGAAAAGAAAACAAGGTACTTACAAACCTTTTTTCTTCTCTTAAAGGTTGCTTTCTGTGAGAGCATTTGATAACCTGCTCTAGACATTTCATGTTGATTTCAACAACATAAGTACATTTGGAAACAAAGTAAAAATGCTTATATAATGCAAACCAAACATTAGAGATAATCAGTTATTGTCTACAAAAGTTGGATAATACAATATTACAGTATACTGACATGCTACAATATCAATGGTTACCAGGCAACCTCACAGAAAGTACTACCACTTTCAGACCTACATAAGTACAGACAGTGAAACCATGGGAGTTTTAACGATACAGTAAATATTATAGCTCCTGGCAAGGAACGGAACGCTCACATAACATAGACAAACATTTTAACTATTCCTTTTGACAGCTTGCAGCCCAGCTTTATTCTTCACCTAGTATACTGAGACTTTAAGGGGCAATTCCACAATCTTTTACTGTTGACAAAAAAAAATAATTTCCTTAAAAGCATTAATGTTTTTGCTTAATATTAACTTTACATTACTATAGATCATGCTATGCAACAGCTCAAGCAGACAAGTGAGACTTGTGTAAGCCAGACTAAAATAAAGTACACCAAATTACCAGTGCTACTGTTTCTAAATGTGCCAGGAGATCTTTAATGAAGAAGCTTCTATTGTTCTTTCCTCAGTTACCAAACTGGGGCACTAGTTTAGAAATTCTTGTCCAGAGACAAAAGTGCCACCTACTGGACAACCAAAACCAGTTACAGCAACTTCATTTTCCTTTAATGTCTTCCACTTCAGTCAGGCTACAAGATGGTAACTCTGCTATATAAACTTACTCCTGTCAAAAATAACTAATAGAAATGATGGTAATTATCAACAGATTTCCAAGGGATAACATCGTTGCTTCTACCTGTATCTCACAAGCTCTGACCAGGTTGTGAATGTAATAAAAAGCTTCTTCTACTGTTTCTCCAACTGACACCAGGCCATGATTTCTCAAGATAAGAACCTGCAATGGAAAAAAATGAAAAAAAAAACAGTTATAATAATGTAACAATTATGTAATATTGCCATCCTTTTAGTAAACACATAAAACCATCCAGAGTTTTCGTCCTGGTGCATGACTAACTCCAGTCAATCACTCCTCTTAAAGAAGAATCTCCTTTAAATAAGAACATATTAATGGATGGTAAATCTGAATACAACTGATCACCACTGCAGAGCACTAAAACTTTAGTTAGTGCTTTGTGGTTTGGAGAAAGGAACCAGTTTCCAAGTTCAGGATATCAGGACCTAAAACACTATTTTTTATTAAACAAAGCCAATCCATTCCTAACCACCATTGTCTCCATAAATACTTTTTGCTTCTGTTTCAGTCCAGGGGAGGTGCCCTTACTAAAGCTGAAACACTGTGTTCACTGAACTCAGGCCATTGAGGATGATTTCCTTTATTCTGAAATACCTTGCTCTTAGGTCCTAGATTTTTCTGTATTAGCACATTCTCCTCCTCATTGACCAGGATCCCATGGTAATCATGATAGGCCACCTCCCCCAGGGCAAGAGCTTCTGGGGAGATGGGCAACAGGCCGCACTTCATGGCTGACACCTGCAACACAGCAAGGACAAGGCTGATAAGATGTGAGGCCTATGCGTCTTATCACATGTAGCCAGTTAATTCAGGGTCAAAACCCAAACAACATTTGAGACGTACCGCGGCCCCAGCAGGTGTGTGGATGTGTACGACACACTTGATGTCGGGCCGGGCGGAGTAGATGGCAGAGTGCAAGGTGAATCCTGCTTGATTAACACCCAGGTTAGTGCTCCCACGGTCAACAATTTCCCCTTGCAGGTTTATTTTAACCTAGAATTACAAAATGCATTTAAGTTATAAAAACACAAGGGTTTTACAAAATGCCCTGCCAAGTCTACAATCAAACCAAACACCAGGAACATCTGGGGATATTTTGAACATTTTGAACTATAATTCACTACGGTTTCACAGAATTCATACAACCCATACAACAGAAGTGGCAAAGATTTACCATTTAAGAACAAATGCCAAATCATAACAATGTCCCTAAAGCACTTCTTATTTCAGTACCTAAAAAAACAAACTTTTTCATTTAAATTAAAAAAGATGACATAAAATCAAGTAGCAGCACAGACTACAATGACCAGTATCTAGTTTTCAGACAGATATAAAACTAGAAATATGTATATATATTACATAAACCTACAGTACCTAAAGCATTCTTAAGACAACAAATGGAAACTGAAACACCAATGAATGAAATTCTGTTGTCATCTCCACCCTGGTGTTCACTGAAGAGCTTCCTTCTTAAATGGTTCTAATATAGAAAAGGCAGCGTACCAGGTTAGAGGCAGTGACTTCACTGTACAGAAGCCCAAATGGCACAATCAGGAAACGCTCTTGCTCTGAATTCAGCCTGACCTGTAAAAAAAAAAAACATGCAAACTTTTGCCAGTATTCAACAAGGGAAAAAACAATGATTCCCATTGCCTAGGTTTTCAAAGTTTAAAGGGCAAGAAATAAGGGTGAACACTTACAGTAAGTTCAGTTTAGATTAATTCAGTGAGTGTAAAATGTATTTGGAAACTCTGCACCGATATTAGAAAACACATATAACACAATTAACAATGCAAGGAATAGGTTACCAAACTTCATTACAAAATTGAGAAACTACTGGGATTTATCAAAATTAAGCTTTAAGATGTTTGAAATAGAGTTTACAAAAAAATGGCAAGATCTGAAATGGTAAAAATATGTTTTATTACGTTTCCTTTTCTCACTGCATTCTCACACTGCATTCAAGAATTACTAAACAATCACATGGATTAAACAAAAAGACTTCAATGGCTGAAGGCAAAATTGACCTGTTGCACAACAGCTAAACAGCACGGTGTTTAAAATATTTCACGTGACCTGTGGTAGGCACTTTGGGTAACAACCTTCAACAAGTATGGGCAATGAATAAAGAATGCAATGAGGCCACTTTCCATCATGGGTATTTAATAAATATTAATTATGTTAGAAGATACCAATTAGAAACGTTTTGCTGAATAGCCCTTTCCTTATGTAATAATGGCAATAAAAACCTAAAAACCTAAGGGGGGTTCATCCAGTCATTAAGTTGCTTGTCCCTTCAAATCAAGCGGTGTTGGAGGGACCTGGATGTGTCCGACATATTCTTTAGCACGTATGCATGTCTAAGCTTAGTTACACAGAAGCTCTAGTATTCTGCGATTCTATGGCAACCACCAAAAATCACTGACACGAAAAACACACTAAAAAAAGAAGCATAATAGTTTCTTCTTTACAGGCATGCCATAGCAACCGAGAACTGCCGCAGTAAAACTTCAGTCATGAACTCCACAGATCTCCTTATAGATAATGCAACTGCAAAGATCAAATTAAACACTGCGAGCCAATGTCCTCCAGGAAGACCGCAGGAAACCTTCTGAAATTCATGCAACATTGTACAAATTAACTGTCCAAGTTCATACGATGTCACAGAAAGAAACATTATGATTTGAACCAACTTAATTGAAAGAAAATGACCATAACTGTGTTATATGACTGTTGTGAATGAGTGAAAAATATTTTGTTAATAGAAGGAGTTCAAGTGATTTTTAGCTGAAACAAGATATTAGAAAATCTCATTGGCAATGACAACTTGGGAATCGTCCAGAAATTTCCAGATACGTATTTATAATTACCTAGCTACAGTAAGTGCTTACCGTTAAGTGGTTGTAAATCAGTTGAGACCACCCAAACAGGTCAGTGAGGCGGTAGAAGGCAGCCAGCTTACAACGAAGCAGCTTCTCGCCCTTCTCGTAAGCAATGGAGTCGGAGCCCCGCAGGTCATTGACTGGAGTCACCATCCCTAAACCTGTAAATATCAGCACGGCCTCATAACTACAAGTTATAACTATCCACTCTGCTACTGAGCTGGATTTGGAGTTCACACCGAAAATTGACATCATGCTTGGATAATGTAGATGTAAAAATCCTGCACCTTTCAACAACAGTAAATAACTAGAAAATTCTGTATTTACACAAGAGGTCACGAAGCTTTTTATCTTTGCGTTATTTAAAAATGATCAAACTGTGGATTCGTCCTTCTGAAAAAACTGAGCCCAATGAGAAGTATGAAGCAGAGGGACCTGCCAGGCAGCACGGGAGAATGCTTTCTCCGGCTCTGATGTTCAGGTCATCACTGTTAAGTTCTACTCACTCATATTGAGGGCTGCCATCCCACCCTGTGGAGTGGCTGGATAAATGCTGGGCATGCTAGTATTCATGAAGTCTGCAATCTGCTGCAAGGCTAGCAAGCTTGTAGGGTTCTTGCCCTTCTTCAGCTGGTCTTGGATCATTGTCTCCAGCTCCTCACAGAAGGCCTGCAACACAAACAAAACATCTCAGAATTCAAACCCCACCTCTGTTGTTTTAAGAAGACAACCAACAACAAATTTATTTCAGGATGTTTTGTGTTGATGTATATACTGCTGTGAAAAAACATTTAGATATCTTCCCACAATCAGCAATTATAATATATGCAGATAATGAGCACCATCAACTTCACTTGTGTTTTCTACTATAGACTACATGGTCTGTCAATACAAAGGGTCGCAGCAGTAAATTCATCACATTTACAATCAGAAATAATTGGTTCATTGTCAGGCAGTCCTCATATTTATCATTTGCTCCTCTATACATATCCAGAAAGCTTAAACTTTATTTTTTTGTTCTACAAGAATAGATCTATCAGGATTAACTGTTAATTTAAAACAAAACAATTAAACTTTCTGTGGATCAAGATAGAATTATATCTGCACAAACATGGAAAAGCAAGTGAAAACTACAAAACATTTTTGCACAACATAACATAAATCAAACACAATTACAGGCATTGGAAGAAACCAAACCTTCCTCCCTTGCATTTCCAGTTCATACTGGAATACAGCCAATTTCAAATTCTAGTTTGATATATGTCACTAAATGGGAGAGGATCAAGACTGCCCCATAGCTGTGAAAGAGCAATGTATTTTGCAGGAAAAAAGTTTAAGAATAGTAAATCCTAGGAGAGAAAGGAGTGCAGGCAACATTAGAACAAAAACAGGAAATATGAAACAAATAGAATCACAGATTGAAGTAATAAAAGCACTATAGACCATAGCTGTATGTGCCAAAAAACAAACAAATCCCACTGTCTCTATTTAAGATCAGTGTTTTTGAAAATATCTATCCAATTTTAAATGGCGCCAAAACTGAGGTGAGTAAATTATACACACTAACTGCAAATTCACAAAGAATAAAAATACAGGCAGGATTGCTCTGAAAAGATAGATTTGCTAAGCAGCTAAATAAATCCCCCAGATGTTTTGCATTGCTACTGTGGGATACTAGTGCGAATAAGACCATGTTTCCATGAATTATATTTGCCTACCGTACCACAGTGAACAAAGCCTGCCAGGATGTCTCTGTGAAAACTGTATACAGTAACTGTGGAAAACAGAATTGATGCAATAAAAATAATGGTAACCATGGTAACAACTAGGTCTCAGAAACGTCAAGACAGAGATTTAAATCAATTTCTTATGGTTTAGTAGTGATTTTCAGCTTCATTTTACATAAGAAACTCACAGGGGATTCTCAGAAGAGGTAAGCCAAATTTGTATCCTCACTCCATCTTCACAGAAGTGAAAAGCATTTTGTTCTATTCTGGTATTTGTAAGATAGTTGTTGATAAACTTTTTTTAAGTAGTCATCTAACCATGATCTTATCAGTGTTTTAATTCCATGATCCTCCCAGACCTATCCAGGCTCTGCCCTTACCAGTGTTAACTTTCTTGTGAAATGACAACCTCATGGACATCATTTACTTTATGAAGAGGTTACCAGGAATGTCTGACTAAATTAAAACACACTGTAGTATTACTACTTGAAGGTGGGAGAAAAGTATTGCTGTTAAAATGTTCTCTTGGTGGATTTTTTGGATTACAGTATGTAGTGCAGATTTCTTTTATTAATTTCTTTGGAAATAAAGAAACAGGTTTGCAGCACAGATTTAATTCCTGATCTTCTGATCTAAACCATAAAATAATTTATTAAATTTTCTTCTTTTTTGAACAATTTCCACAACAGCTGCTATAACTGCCTTTCTGTACAATGGTTTAAACAGTGCGTCTTCCATGCAATCTGATCTGCCTGTGCTAATCATATTAACACATCATAAGCCAGACACAATCCAGTCATTTGTACCCTGTAGAGCTGAGGTTACAGATGGATAAGGCCTGCCTCCTATTGACATTGTCCAGGAATGCAGACACTTAGCCACATTTCCAGCTCTCAAAATATTGGCCTAAGGAGTGCTCACCTCTCTTCCATCTATGATACCTTTGTGCTGACGTAACATATAGCGTAATCACTTGGACCTCTGCCTGCTTTTCCTAGAGATCTTACATTCTATATAGAAACTATATCAAATCTGCGGCGCAGTGGCTCTGTAGCTAAGGATCTGCGCCTTGGCAGGAAGGTTGCTGGTTCAAATCCCGTGGCCAGCAGAGGAATCCTACTCCGTTAGGGCCCCAAGCAAGGCCCTTAACCCCAGCTACTCCAGGGGCGCCGTATAAATGGCTGACCCTGCACTCTGACCCCAAGCTTCTCTCTCCCCGTCTACTGTATGTGCCTGGAGAGCAAGCTGGGGTATACGAAAAGACAAATTCCTAATGCAAGAAATTGTATATGGCTAATAAAGTGATCTTATCTTAAAACAATGACTTGCTTTATTGTACTCTTAAGAAAAATGCATTAACACTGTGGGATTTTATTGTTGCTGTTACACAACATCCTCTTGTATCTGCTTCCTTCAATGCTAAGTACTAAACAAAGAGCCTTCTGATTAGTCTGAGAATATAACTTGAGAGAATCATATAACCTTTTACATGGAAAGAAATAGGAAGTTAAGTTTCACTGTGTGAAAGTTTATTAAAAGAACTGCTTTTTAAGCATCAGATGAACTTTGAGCTAATTATTACCACCTAAGGGAATTAATATACAGTATGTATATCAATTTGCAAACTGCAGGATGTTTGAAATCAATGACGTAATACAGTAACACATATACATGAGTGAAGTTATACAGGATCCGGGCATACTGAACTGCTGTAAACTCTGCCTGAGAGATCGATAAGACTAACACTTAATAACTGTAATCTGAAATCTAGCTCGCCTTTTTTTCACAATTAGCAAAGTCAGTGTTATATGTCCATTTATGACAGAGTTAAAAAAAGAGTCTGGAGGGAGATTTCCTCAAGGTTTTGCATTTACAGCACTCAATGGTATGTAGACCTGGAAGGGTAAAACTAACCGGACTCTGCAGAATCATAGAGACCCTCTTCCTCTGCTCCATCATATTGAAGTCCTGGCGTAGGTCAGGCGCCATGTTCCTCTCTCTCTGGTACTCGGGACTGCTTTCGTCGACTCGGTCAAAGTAGCGCTCCTTGTGAGGGGCTGTGGTCGGGGGTGGGGAAGTGACCACCCCAGCGCCGGAGTCACCATTCATAGCAGGCTGAACGCAGCTCCTGAGAACAGGTTAAACAAGTATGTTTAGAAGAACAGAATGACTGTGCTTTGCTTAGTGTGCAGAAAAGCACTGCTATACGGATCATCAATCCTAACCTTCAGGCCCAGGACATGAAGGTTAACTATAGCATTAGGTAACTGCAGTGCAATTCTGCATTTGCGGTCTCATATGAGACCGTAACACATTTTTAGCATGTTACTGTTTTCGTGTCCATTCCTCAGTACCATTACCTATACTTAATAAAACCAAAAATTACCAAGGAAAAGTTTCAATAATCCTCTATGGTAAAAATGTAGTTTTTAAAGAAAAATGTCTTCAGTTAACTATGCTCGCAAAGTTATGCAAGTCATTCTGTCACAATTTTTCCACCCATTTATTTTACCCTATTCATTTCAACATTGTCTTTCTCTTGAGCTTCTTCTGTTGAAAACTAGATTCTCTCATCATGTGGGCAAGGCCGTCTCAGAAACATACCCAAGTCAGACAGCTTATAATTTAAAGACTGCTAGAAATAGACACCTCCTATATAGGGTGACACTAAACTTGAAACGCCTTTTCTTGGATTACATGCTGAAGACATTTGACGAAGTGTTTTATTCTTTTTTGCAAATGAAAGGAAATTCTGCCATACAGTGCTACAATTTGGAACTTTGATGAACTTCAGGTCCTCTGTATTACTGTTAGCTATTTTAAAATTTGGAAATGAAAAGAACATTAGTGTAAGATGCCTACAGATAATCAATTATTACACTTGCTGCTAAAGCACTTCATAAAACAGATTCCATTAGTGCTGCCAACACAACGGCAGGCATTCTGCTTTCATGTTTTCACAATACAGCTCCGAACATTTCAATCACTTGCATCAAGGAGCAGATTTTAATACCAGATCATCATTAGTGGAAGTCTGTATATTGTCTACAGCTACAGGCATTGATGAGTGTCACAATCCCACATTGTTCCAAAACTATTCAGTACTGAGTACAAATGTAATGCTACCCTTTAAATCAAATTCTCAGAAACTGACACAGATTGGGGTCACAAAGATTTATGCAGATAGAAAAAGATCCTAAAAGTGTATGATGTTTGAAAACAAACACTGATATCTGAAATAAGAAAAAAAAACTTCAACAATACAATGCTAACAAGTCATAATTTAAATATCTTCTCTTCAGCAGTTATGTGCTAGACCTTGCGCTTGGCTACTAAATTCTCACTATGACATATCAACTAAAATTATCTAGTATACTCCATTTAATCGTTTAAAAGGACTGGCTGGTAATGGTATTTATAGGTAATTCTGTGTTTTCTGCTAAAAATGTATTTAATGGGACTATCCTACAGTACAAACAGTCACACTCCATACTTTTCAAATGGTTATGTCTATACATAATACATTATGATACATTATTGATCCATAATGCTTTTGTGAAGGCTATGGTCTACATTGGAACTGCTAGACAGGAAATGCTACATGATCGATAGTAGACAACACTAATGAAGATAATGCTCAGTTAAAAACATCAAAGTAAAGCAGAAATCAAAGGCATTTTGAATATTTGTACATATTCCTGTTATGTATCAATTATCAATGAAGTTATGGTGGTTGGTTATATTCATGCATGTATAACTATTATATGTGTTTTGTGGACTGAACAAACTACAGTACCTCCACTGTTAATTAAACTTCATTAATCTATATTTATTCAAAAGACCAGTACTGCAAAGTTGGACTGACAATTCTTAGTAACACATTGCATACATTTGCACATATTTTAAACATCTACACATAAACCAGTTGTTGTTTAGTTACTCTGACATTCAAATTAACTTAATGTTTTCTGTGTGCAACACTGTATATTGACAGCTACAGGTATTTTATTCTTCAGTTGACAATAGCAATTGATGAAGACACTTTACATCAATGTTTGATAATGTTGTTAACTCTGGCTCAGTGCAGACAACTGAATTGTCGCAGCCTGTGACAGGTTTCTTTTAATTGGCTTGTTAAACAGATTTACACATTTAACAACAGACATAAAGCTATTAATCGGAAGATGTGTGAAGGCTACATGTCAAAAGTCCAGGATTACTTGTCAGCATGACTACAGAACTTCCATTAGTGTCACCTAATGTGCATGTAAAGACGGAAAAAGGAATCTGCACTTTAAAGCAGAAAGCATCTAAAAAGGAAGGCAAGAGATTCTGGACCCATAATCACATGAGGGTGAACACTAAAAATGGTGTGGATTACTGGTTTGGGCTCTGCACTCTGGACCATAGAGTCATGGGCTCAGATCCCAGATAGATCACTGCTTTTGTACCCTTGAATACTTTACTCACAATGCTCCAGTAAATGACTTGCTGTTAAGGGGGTCTCCAATTCATTGTTGTAAATGGGAAACTATTCCTAATTGACTTACTTGGTAAATAATGAAATAAAAGAGTGCAGACAATTTAAGTAAAACATGTTTAGAAAGCAAGAATAGTACTGGCCACACAAGCCATTAGAGAACACAAGTCAATAATTGTAGGATTATGTAATGGCATCCACCCTTACCCATGTGCAATGCGATGTCACAACTGTTTTAACCAAACAAAAATTCTCCATTTTGCTGAATTTAAAGTTTCTTTGCAATTTTAGATGTCATTATTAATAGAAATGCAAGCATGATAGAGAAAAGTTCTGTTTTGCAAACATCACAATATTGACTAGACGTATGCAACAAATGGAGGAAGCCCATCCATAATCAGTACAAAATAAAATGCATTATTATTTAGTACACTCTTTGTAAATTATATTACTCTAACTTTACTAGGCCATCCTACACTGCTACTCCGCTACTGGGCGGAGCGGTGGCTCTGTGGCTAAGGATCTGCGTTTGTGACTGGAAGGTTGCCGGTTCAAATCCCGTGGCTGGCAGAGGAATCCTACTCCGTTGGGCCCCTGAGCAAGGCCCTTAACTCCATCTGCTCCAGGGGCGCCGTACAATGGCAGACCCTGCGCTCTGACACCAAGCTTCTCTCCCTGTCTGTGTGTCTGTGTCTCCTTGGAGAAAAAGCTGGGGTATGCAAAAAGATGAATTCCTAATGCAAGAAATTGTATAGGTCTAATAAAGAAACATTATTACAAATGTAGTTACCTCTAAGAGAATTTCTCTAAGTTTTACTGTATTTAGCAATGTTGGAATTCTCAGATCCTGCTGTTTGTACCAAAGGATGATCGTGACAGGACTGTCAAGCAGGAACCATAAATTTTCTTTTACTAAAGATTCTCATCTGTATTCAGTTCCGTCTGTTCTACCCCCCAACTTTTTTTTTAACTCCTCGGGCGTTACAAAAATCTACACAAACAATATTTTACAACTGTAAATTTAACCAGTTCTAAGCTTTGAAAAAGTGTAGGAGAAATACAGCATATACTACATCTCATTTTAATGGATTCAAAACAAAACTTTTACTTTGTGTTCCATATGATCATTCACTGCATTGTATACTCGACAGAACACATGCTACGCAAAAGTGCACTTCATAGAAACAACATACTGGACTAACTCCAGACATGCTCAAAGTGCTCATTTCCTGTGAGGCCATTAAAAGAATAAAGGGGCATCAAAATTGAACAAAATACAAATTTATACTCGATGTTACTGGCATTTTCTATTCTTCCAGTAGGACGGTTGTGTGCTTCTGCAGTCAGTGTGCAGTCCCAAGAGGCACCCAAGCTTGAACAACAAATACAACTGAATACTCTGGGGAAGATCTGCATACACCTCAAAACAGCTTAGACATGCAACAACATTCTGTATCTGCTTGATATTGATGCCTCTGAATAAAAAAATAAAGAAATTTAAACTGTACAGCACAAAGAAATAAATATGCAACGCATGCTATTGCTTCCAATACTCATTTATTGTGTGTTGATCCTTCTCAGTATAGATAGTTAAGATATAAAGCGATATACATAAATGTCAAAGCATCAGAGCCATCAATTCAACAACTTGTTTGTAACACTGCCCAAATTTCCCATATAAGCTATCAGTCAGGTGCATCTTTCTTAGGGTTGAAAATTTATATTTTCCAACACTAAAGTGGCACACCCAAGCAGACACCTGTCCACAGACACACATCAACAAAATGACAAAGCTACTTCGTACTTTTATGTACTGTATTACCTTACACACTACCTTGCTTATCATTCAGCCCCAGTCCTGGAGTATTGCACTCTGCCTTCAATTTGTTTTTAATCAAAATGTGCTTTTTTGAAACTTTAATTGAACTATTTGGTTTCTAAACTTGGTTTCAGCGTTCCTCTGTTCAGAAAATCAAAATTATTTTAGGAGACCTTACAGAAGTAACAGAAAGGAAAGGTTAGAAATAAGCAGATTCACACGCGACTAGTGTCTGTAATGTGAATGAATCTACCAATTATGCATTGATAACTAATAAGGCTGAGCTGTTTAGAATGCTCTAATAAGAGTATCAGAAAAGGCACAATCAGCAGGAGTATGTTGCAAGACCTGCTGCAAAACCTCTATTCTGTGACATTTCTGCATTGTTGTCCTCTCAATCTGAGTTTATACAGTTGTTAGAGGGGTGAAAATAATTTTATCACCAAGATTGCTTTGTATATTACGCCTAAAGAAGGGGAAGAGGTGCCAGCCTCCAGTGACATTTATAGTGTAAATTCAGAAATAGTAAAACTCTAGCACAACCAATTGTCAAAGTACACAGCTGAGCAAGCATAACAGCTTGGTAGCTATATTCTGCAGAACACATGAAGGAATGCATCTTGTACTGTTTATAGTACATGTAACCAAGAACTAACACATTCACATATCGCCACCAACTACATGATAATACAATTTTTATGTAAATGCACTTAAGTTCATAGCTTTAACAAATCCAGTTGTCTCAATATGGGGGGAAATGAAAACACATGCTGAGATATATCAAATACAGTCATCTAATTCATTAAAGGATATACAATAATTCCATGAT